CACCCCGCGGCCAGAACGGCCCGAGAGGCCTCCAAGATTGCGAACGACGCTCCGAAGAGAGCCTCAATAGGCCAAGGCGGCCCGAGATGGCCCCAATACGTCCCACGATGGCCCCAAGACGGCCCAGACGGCCCAAGAGGCCTCCAAGAGGCCTCCCAAGATGGCCCCGCGAAGCAAACATCAACGATGATCCTAACATTTTTGAAGGTGTTTGGCCTTCTCGCCTTTTCGGCTTTCCGATGCTCCGAGACGGACCAAGAGGTTCCCAAGATCGCCTGACGACGGCCCTAGAAGCCCCCGTGACGGCCCAAGAGGCCGCCAAGACGGCCCCACGACGGCCAAAGAGGGCCCCAAGACGGTCCAAGAGGCGCCCCAGACGGCCCAAAAGAGCCCTAAGACGGTCCCAAGAGAGGCCCAAGAGGGAGTCCACGAACCGAATACTCGACCTTTCCGCCCCGAGAGAGCCCCAGAAGGCGCTAAGAAGGTCCCGAGAGGCCCCAAGAGCCCCCCAAGAGGCCCCAAGGAGACCCCCAAGAGACCCCAAATAGCTGTTTCCAAGAGGCCTCAAGGAGACCCCCAAGAGGCCTCAAGGCGACCCCCAAGAGACCCCCAAGACGCCCCAAGGAGACCACCAAGAGGCACAAAAGAGACCCCCGCGCAGCCGCCCGCACTAGTAATAGGGGGGCCAGCGGCAGAGGGCGAAGCCCTTCAGATATTCCAAGAACATGTCGTGCAAGCCACAAGAGGCTTTCAGAACATCGGTTGCTGGGAGTGCGGTCAAGAACTTGTGGATAGCGTGTGGCGGCGGCGGCCCGGGCATCACGCGATGCCTTGCGAGCGGACTGCGTGTCGCTCCGCCCCGTCGGGCGGGAGGCTCAGGAAAAGCTCGGCATGCGGACGCTTCGGGACCCATAATTGGATAGCGTGTCGCGCCAAAGCGCTACAGGCCAAAAGATCCCGACCGTAGAAGCAGGTTGCACAAGCCAACCACGATTATGATAGCAATCTTTGGTGGACCCAGATGCAAACCAGGGCGCCTCGTATTGCCTTCAGCGACTCCGAAAGGTTTGGTTTGCAAAGGGTGCGGCATGCAAACTGCACCCTTGGGGGCGGGCGAGGACCCCGACAGAGACCCCCGCCGCGCTCCGACGAGGACCGGCGACCCAACGACGCCAATGGCACACCACACCCCGGCGTAGCCACACCTTCTGCCCAAAGGCGAGCGATGGGGGGGAAGTGAGAATGAAGGGGCCCTGGGACACACAGATAAATACACACACAAATAACAGGATCCCCCATATATTTTCCAATATGTTCTGGGTGTTTGTCCTCCCCCCCAATTCCCATACGTTTCCCTATTTTCCTGGAAGTCGACGGTCAATTGTGTCTGTGTGTTTTTTCCCCTCCCGAGAGCAGGGGCGGGCCTTCTCAGAAGGCTCGGCAGGCCCCCGGCCTCCTGGAGAGTTCTCCCCGATCCTCCGGCCACGGCGCCGGACGCCTCCCGGAAGACGCGGGGCCCGCCGACGAGCTCCGCCGCCTCCCGAGAGGGCCTCCTCCTCCTCGCCCTCCTCCTCCTCCTCCTCCTCCTCCTCCTCCTCCTCCTCCTCCTCCTCCTCCTCCTCCTCCTCCTCCTCCTCCTCCTCCTCCTCCCCCCCTCCTCTTTGTCCTCCTCCTCGACCTCTCCCCTTTCCTCCTCCTCGTCCTCCTCCTCCTTCTCCTCCCCCCCCTCCGCCCGCGGCCGACCCCATGGCCGCCCGCGCCTCGAGCCCCCTCCGAGGCGCAGCCTCGCTCCCCACCGCTTGGCGGCCGCCGCCGCCCCGCATCGGGCCGGGCGAACGGGGGGGATAGCAAAGAGCCTGTTTTTTTTTGGACTCAGGCAAGTTTACTTGCATGGCGTTCGCCCCCCCCCCCCCCCCCTCGCCCCTCTTCAAGCGAATACTAGCGTGCAAGTGCCTTTCGACTTGCGTGATTTCCGCGCCCCCCCGAACGTGCAAGTCGTTTGCGGCTTGCTTCAGGCTCAGCCCCCCCCCCGTCCATGCAAGTAAACTTGCCAGAGTCTAAAAAAAACAGGCTCAAGGGGGGGTTTGAGAATCAGCTCGCGTGGCTGAATCTCCCGGCGCCTCCAGGCGCCGGAGGCGGCCACGTATCGAGGAATGGGCCCCTCGGTGGAGCTGAAGCTGGCTGCACGCAGCAGATTTCGCACCCCCCCCTTTCCCTATCCCCCCCTTTCGTTCGGCCCGACCCGGCTATACGCAAGAGTGCTCCTGGGTAAGAGTGACCCTTGCTGCGCGACTTTCTGGGGGCCGCGGGGGGACCAGACCTGGGCGCGCAAGCGGCTGCTGCTGCTTCGTTTTCGGCCACCTGAGGACCCATCTGTGCCCGCACCAAGGTAAAACAGGGCTAGGATCGGGATAAATCGCTGAGGAGCGTTCCGGAGCGCTTTCAGAGCGTTCCGGAACGCTCTGGAGCGGCCGCGGCGCCCAATACGTCCTCCAAACCCGCCGATTCTCAGAGATTTCGAATTATCCCGACCCGATTTTGTCCCGATCTTCGCGTCGTTTTACAAAGGTCACTCCGGCGAAAGGTCACTCTTTATGCCTAGCCGATGCAGCCGCCGCTGCCTTGCGACTCCTCCGACGCCGCCCTGCCCGGACCGCACCCCCCTGGAGGGCCCCGCGCGGCGGGCGGCGGGCGGCCCGCCGCGCGGCCCGAGAGCGCCGCGGCCGGTCTTGCCGCCTCGGCTCCGCTCCCGGCCTCGGCCCCCTCCGCCCCTCTCCGCCTCCAGCCTTACAGTCGGGGCCTTGACCTAAGAAACCCTAAATAAGGAACGAGGCCCCTCTTTTCCATAAGTTAAACTTCGATGTCCGATCGAAAACATAAGGACAACCTGAGGCAAGCTGTGAAACACTCAAGGAACGCGGGGCCCCTCCCCAACCAAAAGGGTTCCTTCTTCAGAGCCCCGACTGTACGTCGGGCGTGTCCCCCTACAGGGGGATTGGGGGCGAACAATGAAAAGATACCGTCCAACAAAAACGTCCCCTGGCCGTTTTTCGACTAGTTTTGAACTTTCCCCCCGTGGAGGGACGGGCCAGACCGAACTCCAGCCTCGGCCTCCTCCTCGCCTGCCCTCGTCCGGCTCCGCCTCCTCGGAGGCCCCAAAGTCATCCTGGCCCTCCTCCTCCTCCTCCTCGTGCCCCTGGGCACTCTCGGCCTCCCCCTCCTCCTCCTCCTCCTCCTCCTCCTCCTCCTCCTCCTCCTCCTCAACTCCTCAACTCCTCCTCCTCCTCCTCCTCCTCCTCCTCCTCCTCCTCATCATCATCATCATCATCATCATCATCATCATCCTACTCCTCCTCCTCTTCCTCCTCGTTTTCCACCTGCTCTTCCTGGCGCCTCCTCCTCATCCTCCTCATTGGCTTCTCGTCCAAGTCCTCCTCCTCCTCCTCCTCCTCCTCCTCCTCCTCCTCTCGCTGATAATCTTTTTCCTCTCATCTTCCTTAAGCCCGTTCTGGCTGACAATTTGCGCACGCATGCGCATTCAGCAAACCGGAAACCGTACGACCACACGAGTTTGCTGCTTCGTGGCTGATTCGACGGCGTATGTGTCCGTGCTCGAGGTGAACCACTGTTGCGGTAGCGACCACCGTGCGACTCCTAAGACTTGGCGCGGCGCGACAGACAAGAGCCAAGACAGCTGTCAGTGGCCATCTCGGGCCGAGAAGAAGAAGACGCGAGGGCAGCGGGCCAAGGAGCCGGCGGGCGGGGCGGCCTCGCGGCTCTCCGAGGAGCTCGCAGATGTCCGCAGCGAGCTCGCCGTCACCTGCCCTGTGCTCCAGAAGCTCCTGGGCAATCTGTTTCCGGTTCATGGTCTTGCCGCCAGTACTGTCGTCGGTGGTGACCCGAGTATGGGATGTAAGAGCATCTCTGCCCGTGCCAGGTGCAGCGAGGCATGTGGTGAAGTCGCAGCGCGACGACATCATCATGGACACCGCAGCGACAACGGGAGGCACCAGCCATGGCAGCCATACGAAAGGCAAATACGAAGCCGAATGCCGTCGGCAAGGCAAGTACAGAACAATTGGAGGCGGAATTCGAGCCCCACGCCATCCGTTGTGGTAAAAGCGGCCACTGGCAGCACGCGGCAAAGTTGGAGCCGAACGCCAACGCCAGGGGAAGCTCCATGCAGAGGCACCTGGAGGCAAAGTCAGATGCTAACGACGTCAGCTATGAGAGATACGAGCAGTCGGAGGCGAAGTTGGGGGCCAACGCCAAGTGTTGCAAGAAAAGCGGACAGTGGGAGCACACGGCAAGGCCAGGGTCAGAGCTGAATGCCGCCGTCGGCTCTTAGTGAACCGATTTGCTGTGGCGAAATTGGATCCCAATGCCACATGCTGTCAAAAGGCGGACAGTGGCAGCGCACGGCGAAGCCAACACCATGAGCATCACGGTGCAGAGGCACGCAGAGGCGCAATGGAGGCCCGGCGCCACCAGCAGTGAGAGAACTGGGCAGCGGCAGCGCGGTGGCGGAGAACTCGTGCTTGCCGCAGGATGTCAACGTGCCACTGCGAGGAGCAGCCCAGTCAGGCACGACGGGGCTCTTCTGGCCGAGGCGGGTCTCGGCCACGAGCAGTCTCGCCGACCTCGATCCGAGGGGCGGGCGGCCCGGCGACCAGGCCCCCCTCTGGAGCCGAGGGCCCCGGTTCAGCGAGCGTCTTGACGTGTGCGGCGAAAGGGGCTGGAGGACGGGGAGCGAATGAAGGCGAGGAGGAAGGGAGGGGGGAAGGGAGGAGGGGGAAAGAGTGAAGGGGTCCAGAGAAAAACACACACAATACAAACACAGATATGAATCGACACCTGTCCCAGATTGCCAATTTGTCTCCATGGTTTCTTTACTTTCGTCTTCCCCTCCACTCTCCGCATATTACCCATACCCTTGTGGGAGTCGACGATGGGCTGCGTCTGTGTGTTTCTTTCCCTCGTGAAGAGAAGGGGGCACGCTCCTGATGCGATCCAGCAGGAACTCCCAGCCACTGCCCGCGAAGCAGCCGTGCTGGTGGCCTGCCGTGCGCAGGGGGGCGTGGGCGGGAAGCGCGCGGGGATCGTGGGGGAGCGGGGTCCTGGCGGGGGTCGGGTGCCCCGAAAAGCGGAGGCAGGAAGAGTACCGGAGGAGGGGCGGGGAGAGAGGCAGGGGCAGCAAGCACGCACGCAGGGGCGGACGGGGGGACGGGCGGGGGCAGTCGTCAGCAGCTCGCGGTCGGCGGCTGGGGGCGGGCGGGGGCAGCGGCGTGGGCGGGGCGCAGGCGGGCGGGGGCAACGGCGTGGGCGGGGACGGAGTCCTGTGGTTAGGCGGTCCCAGGTGCAGCTGCCGCGTCGAGGTCGGGTCGCCGACGTGCGCTGGCCATTCAGAAGCGGCCCGGCTGGAGAAGCCAGCGGCGAGGCGCTGCGGACCGCCGGCAGCAGAGGGAAGCGGGAGGGAAAGGAGAAAAGCAAGGAGGGGGCGCCATGCTCGCGCAGGGGGCACGACTTCCAAAAGAAAGTCCAGGACGAGGAGGTGGGGGGAGGGGGCCAGCTCATCCTGGCGGGGCATGTCTGCGGACGAGGGCGAGACAGGGAACATGCTGCTAGAAGGGCAGGGGGCCATGACGCCTGGATACTTCATTGGCCAGGGACCCACGACCTCCCCCCCCAAAAGAAGCTCTCGCCCGCCGCTCTCTTGCCGTCGCTCGGGCGTCCCTTTCCTGTGCACGTTGTCGGCTTCGTGCGTGCTTGTTGTTCGCAAGGTGCTCCAGGATGCGCACCGATGGCCGCCGCCGAGAACAAAACGCGCACACGCCCGAACGATGCCAAGCCCCTCGACGCCCCCCCCCCCCGAGAGCAGGCGGGTCCCGGGTCGCGGGGCTCTCCCCCCCCCCCCAGGCGGGGCAGGCCGTGCGTCCCGAGCAGCGTCTCGAGAGGTCCTGGGGGCCCCTGGAGGGCCCTGGGGGGCCCAGGAAGGACAGGACGCCCCCAGGGCCCCTCTCCTCCAAGAGCCCTCGCCCTCCTGCTGGATGTCGGGACCTCGGGATCGCGGGGCCCGACGCTCCTCGTCTCCTCCCTTCTCCCTCCGCGTGCCTCATCTCCTCTTTCCCCATCGTTCCTCTTGTTTGGGTTTCGTTGTTCTGCTTTCTTCTTCCTCCTCCTTCTTCTCCTTCCACCTTCCTCCCTCCTCGTCCTCCTTCCTCCTGGTTCCTGATGGCACGGGAACCCGTCGGATGCTGCCACATACCCCCCCCCAGGGGTGGTCGAAAGAGGAGGAGGAGGAGGAGGAGGAGGAGGAGGAGGAGGAGGAGGAGGAGGAGGAGGAGGGAGGAGGAGGAGGAGGAGGAGGAGGAGGAGGAGAAGGAGTTGATGAGTAGTTGAGGAGGAGCTTCTGAGAAGGAGGATTGACGAGTAGTTGAGGAGCAGTTGATGAGAAGGAGGAGGAGGAGGAGGAGGAGGATGAGGAGGAGTTGAGGAGGAGGAGGAGGAGTTGAGGAGGAGGAAAAGAGAGAAGGAGGAGGAGGAGGCGGAGGAGGAGGAGCAGGAGGATGAGGATGATGATGATGATGATGATGATGATGATGATGATGATGAGGAGGAGGAGGAGGAGGAGGAGGAGGAGGAGGAGGAGGAGGAGGCGTTGAGGAGGAGTTGAGGAGGAGTTGAGGAGGAGCTGAGGAGGAGGAGGACGAGGAGGAGGAGGAGGAAAAAGAGGAAACCTACATCCCGTGTCGGTGTTTGTTGAAGGTGTCCTGCCCGCATGCAACTCTGCGATCTGTTCGTGATCGTTCCTTTCTAATTGCCTACATCGGTCCGAACCTGCTCGCTATTGCCTCTGTGCGCCCCACCTTTTTGAGGCCAGGGTTTGGACGCGCCACCAACGCAGGTCATCTCACTTGACCCACCGACCCATCGCAACCACGGCGTGCGTCGGCGGCGTGCACGCTTGGGCCTGGACGGGAGGGCTGCGGTGAGTGCGGAAGCTCCGCCTTCGCCGCTGCCCGTCTAGGGTGCCATTTTGGGGGGCACCCAGCGCGCGCAGGGCTCAATGCGTGGCCAGGGCCCCCAGCGTACCCAGCGTGTCCAGGGCCCTCAGCGTGCCCAAGGCTCCCACATTGATTGCTGAAGGCCCCCAGCGCGTCCAGGGCTCCCAGCGTGTCCAAGGCTCCCAACTTGTCGAAGGCTCCCAGCGTGCTGAAGGCCCCCAGCAAGACCAAAGGCTCCAGCGTGTCCTGTGCCCCCAGCGTTTCCAAAACTCCCAGCGCCTCCAGGGCTCCCCGCGTGTTGAGGGTTCCCAGGTTGTCCAGGGTTCCCAGCGTGACCAAGGCCCCCAGCGTGTACAGGGCTCCCAGCGGCGGGAAGGTAGGGTGGCGGGACTGGCATGTCGAGGGATGGGACGAAGATGGGCGCCTCTCTCCACAAGCTGAAGACGCCCTCGCGATGGTTGGGATGAGCGGCCTCTTGTGCCGCGTCCGCCTGGGTTTCGCCATCAAGGCTGTTGCAGCCGAAATGGGCGGCAGGCTCGAAGTTGTATGCCTAGGTGCCAGGCGGACAGGCAGGTGGCGAAGGGGCAACAGGCCCCCTCCTCAGCTGGTATTCGTACTTCTTACAATCCTTGCTGTGCTCGGTGTTGTCGCCCAAAGTCTCGTAAGTGATTGTGGGGCCGATGGTTATGGTTGTAGATGGGGTAGGTCAGAAGGATGGCGATACACTGCTGCCCCCCCTTGCGCGCAGTGTGCGCCAACCAACTCGCGGCAGCCTGTCGAAAGTCCCCATGATCGTGGGTTGGTCTCGGCCGTTTCCCGCCGGTGGGTGTCGCGTGGACCGTCTTGGCCTGGTGGTGCGTGAAGTTGCGGTCGTAGCACGTGGCGCTGGCGTTCGCACGCGGCGCTGTCGTTGGCGGAGGCAGCGGCGGACGACTCCGTGGCGGGCTCCGCGTCCGGCGTGGCTGGGCCGGCGCCGCGCATGGGCGCCTCCTCTCTGCGGGCTGGGCCGGGCGCGCCCTCCCCTCCCCCCCCCCGCGTCTAGAGGTGGCGCCCTCCTTCCTGCTTCTCTCTCCTCCTTCCTCCCTCCTTCCTCCTTCATCCGCCCTCCTCTTTCCTCCTCTCTCCCTCCTCCTCCTCCTCCTCCTCATCCTCCTCCTCCTCCTTCCTCCATCCTTCCTCCTCCCTCCTCCCTCATTCTTCCCTCCCTCCTCCCTCATTCTTCCCTCCTTCCTCCGCCTCCCTCCTCCCTCATTCCACCCTCCTTCCTCCAGGAGCCCGACAGCGGCGGAGCAGACGTCTCCAGGACCCGCTGCCTCAGGACCCGCCCGCTGAGTGGCGGCCTGCCGCTCCAAGCCCTCGACGAGCTACCCGCTGGCAAGGGGGCGCGGCGGCCTGCAGCCGATCCCTCCCGAGACCAGAGCCCCATTCCGTGACGACCCCCCAGGCAAAATGAGAGGCACAAAGACATACTGGTACTATACGCTATACGTCCTCCTTGGAGGCGTCGTTTCCCGAGCGGTGTGGCCAGAAAGCGCCCACCACGACGCGTATACTACAAGATTTCTCGGTGCGCGCGTCGGCCCCAGGGGGGCGACGCACACATAGTATAAGTATGTTAGGGTGACGCCAACGAAAGGTCGGGATAGAAATCATCGTCGAATGCACGGGAAACTCGACAAGCCTTCCCTTCCCTCGGGCGCAGCAAGACTGGCCTGTTCTGTGACGGGAGCCCCTTCCGTGACGACCCCCTCGCCCTCGAGGCTCCCCTCTAGCCCAAGGTGCCCCATCCTCGCTTTTCGCGCCGCTTGCTTGCGCTGGAGGCCGCCTGGAGCTCCCTGGAAAAACTGGGGTAAACTCAACCGCCTCCAGCAACACACGATCCAACTTGGAGCGAGGCGAGCCTCGTCGTGCGAGTTTCGGACCACATCTCGGGTCTTCGGCGGCCGTTCGGGACGATCGCCCCCCACCCACCCCCGAACACCGCCACTGCCGGCGAGGCACAACTGCTGGAAAGCAGGCCGAGGCCGACAGGCTGGGAACCCGAGGAAACGTCCGGAAGTCTCGACTGAAGAGCCTCGGTCAGGCCACCCCGTGAGTGTCCCCCTCTGCTGGGGCAATGCCCAAAGGGGGGCGGGGTACTGCCGTGGGAGTCCGCGCCCTCTCCTGGCAAGCGGGCCCCGCTGGATCCCGTCGGGCCCCCCCCCCCCAAGAACTCCCCGAGGCGCCCCAGAAACGTTCGAGACCCGCTGGGCCCTCAATGTCCAGGAGATGTTGAGCAGGGGCCGGCCGTGGCATTCCTGCGGGCACACCACGATCTTCTGGCAGCACAAAAAGACAGTCCGAACGACAAAGGCAATGACCTAGAAGCACGCGGAGGGATGCAGGACGGTCTCAGCCAGCAGTGCTCTCAGAACATGTCGATTCAAGGAGACACCAAGAAGGCACTGGTTCGAGCAGCCTCTGGTGGGCCTGCGGAGGCGAGCCAGGGCGCCTCGCCACTGCTTGAGGGTGGTCCCCACCCCCGACTCGTGCCCCACCCGCCCCCCCCCGGCATTGCCCGATGCGCTCTGACGGGGGGGGGAGGGAGGCGGCGCACGGCGGGGGGGGCGCGCCGGGGGGGGCGTGCAGCTCGAAGAGGAGGAGCTCGGCGTCGAGCATCAGGCCGTACTCGGGGGCCTTCCGCCCGGCCGGCACTGCGGCGCGGCTCCACCTCCTGCTCCTCCTCGTTATCCTACTCCTCCTGCTCCTGCTGCTCCTCCTCCTCCTCCCCTTCCTCTTCCTCCATGCCACATCCTGTACCCCGACCCTTCCTACTATCCCAACGCCTCCTGGCATCCCTTCTCTCCCTCCCTCAGCCTCTATCCTGGTCCTCTCCTTCTCTCCTCATTCTGCATCGTCTCCTCCCCCTGTCCTCCGCCCAACTCATCCTGCACCTCAACCTCATTATCAGCTTTCTCTTCCTCCTCCTCCTCCTCCTCCTCCTCCTCCTCTTCCACCTCCTCGTCTTCGTCGGGGCAGGTAATCGTCGTCGTCGCCTCTGGAAAAAATGGTGATCGTGATGCAGAGAGTGTATGTGGGCGCCTGCGGGCAGGACGGCGACGACGACCTGTTTTGTCTCCCCTTTCCAGGGCGGGGTCGATGTCCTGACCCACCTTCCACGGGCCCACCCGGCCCTCCTGATAGGCACCAAGAGACCTCATGAGCCACAGCATGCAGTGCAGAGGCGCACCTGCTTATCCCTTGCGAGTCGTTGCATAAATTTGCGGGGACGCGGCCCGAAATGGGGTGCGCTTCGAGGCCTGGCCTAACATACACCATCCACAGACAGCCAGACAAGCCAGACATTCAACGTCTTGCCTCAACCATCCGGTGGTGTTGGGTCCTCGTTTTGAAGAGAGCGCCCCGCGTTCCTTCCTTCCCTCCTTTCTCCCGCTGCCCCCTCCTCCTATCAAAACCATCGGCATCACCATCGTCATCATCATCACCACCACTCCCACCACCATCATCATCATCATCATCATCATCATCATCATCATCATCATCATCATCATCATCATCATCATCATCATCATCATCATCATAATCATCATCGTCGTCATCATCATCATCATCATCATCATCATCAGCAGCACCATCATCATCATCATTATCATCATCAGCAGCAGCATCATCATCACCACCACCAGCGTCATCATCAGCGTCATCATCATCATCATCATCATCATCATCATCATCATCATCATCATCATAGTCATTATCATCATCAACATCATCATCATCCACGTCATCATCATCATCATCACCAACATCAAAATACCATCATCACCGTCACCATCACCATTATCACCATCATCGACAGCATCATCATGAAGCATCATCATCATCGTCATCATCATCATCATCATCGTCACCATCATCATGGTCATCCTCATTATCATCCTGATCATGAGTCTCGTCTCATCCTCATGATCATCATCACCATCATCATCACCATCATCATCAACATCATCAGCAGCATCAGCATCAGCATCAGCATCAGCATCAGCATCAGCATCAGCATCAGCATTGTCATCATCATCATCATCACCATCACCATCACCATCACCATCACCATCACCATCATCACCATCATCACCATCATCATCATCATCATCATCATCATCATCATCATCATCATCATCATCATCATCATCATCATCATCATCATCGGCGCAGCTTCTCCCAGCCGTTGCTGTCGCAGAACTGCTCGACGCCAACGGGGGGCGTCGCGCTCGCAAAGCCGAACCCGACAGCTGTCTCGTCTAGCAGCGCTCTGGCAAATGCGGCCCTGAGCGCGCTGGGCCCTTTGATGGTAGCATGTCAGAACTCGCCCCCAAGGTCCCTGGACCGCTGGTCGGCACGGGGACTCGGATCTTGCCCCAGATCTCGGGCAAGGTCGGCGGCGTCCCAAGTGCTCTCTCTCTTCTCCATCGGGCCCCGAGGCCAGCGACCTGAATGTCGCGTCGGCCTGCCGATGTCGGACCCCGTCGGGCTCGGTCTGGTGACGCAGGCCAGGCAGCACATCAATGCCGTCGCGTGGTAGCCCTTGCACGTCGACTGTCCCGATGACGTCCGCCCCTGTGGCCTTTGTCGGGGATGGACGCGCCCGCCACCGCCGTGATCCGGCCGTCCTCATGGCCGGAGGACGGCCCTGCCGGGCTCGCCCGTGGACCTCCGCGAAGGCCTAGCAGAGCGCGTCCTCGTGAAAGCTGGGCGCAGGTCAGATAACTAGGCCGCGCGCCAGCGATGCTGCTCACCATCGTGATGGGGTTGCCCGTGAGGTGGCCCCCCCTGCTTGGCCTCCGATCTTTGTCGGGGGGCCTGCTGGCCCTTGGCGAACCTGCGCATCTCTCGGCGCGCGCCTCCCTCTCCACGCCCTCCCGGCACACTCGCAGTCGGACTGCCTGGAGCGGCTCTGTGCGCCAGCGCCCCCGCGGCGGCGCATGGGCGACAGAGGTCCTCCCCACTACGGAAGTCTGAACTCTGCGGGCATCGTGCTCGTCCCCCACTCCGCGGCCTCCCCTGGGGCGGTCTTGGAGCCAGAGGGGTCGGTGCTGGCGTCGCCCCTGGCAATCTGGTCGACGTTGCCCCCAAGGTACGGCGCGCGCACTCCCTCTGCGCATCGTCGTCTGTGCGTTCCTTGCCCGGCGCGGTGCCACGTATTTTTTTTGGGGGGGGCCGACCTCCTGCCATCGCTCCGCCCCTGGGCCCTCAGGGCGGTGGTCTGCCAGCGGGTGATCTGCAGGTGTTCGCCCGTCCCTGGTGCCCGCGTGCCCTCCCTGCGCGCTGCTGCCTGCCCCCCCCTCGGATGCTGCGGGCCCTCACGACGGCCATCTCCATCGCTGCGACTGCCCCTCGGATGTTGCGGGCCCTCACGACGGCCATCTTTATCGCTGCGACTGGACTCGCGCAGCTCTCGTTGACGATGGCTGCCTGCCTCCGCCGTCGCTCGCGCACTGCGCGGCCTCCCGCCCCTGCTGGGACCCGATCAGGGCGGCCGCCGAAGGGCGTGTATAGGCGCTGGCGACCTCCTGCGGCCTGCGCCGCCGGTCGCCTGCGACGAGGAACAGCCGCTTGTTGGGCCCCTCCTGGATGTCCTCATCCTGTACAGTCGAGGCGTTGACCTAAGGAACCCTAAATAAGGAACGAGGCCCCTTTTTGTTCAGAAGTGAACCTCCGACTTCCCATCGAAAACCTGGGGAAAACCTTCGGCCAGGCGTGGAATCATGAAGGAACACCGAGCCCCTCCCCAACGAAAAGGGTTCCTTCTTCAGGACCCCTACTGTACGCTGTCCAGCTCGCCGTATGGGCGGGGAGGGGGTGGCCCGTGCGGATCCGCATGTTCCTGCCTCCTGCCCTGGATCTCTTGCCGCGCGCGCCCGCTGCCTGCCTCGGCCGGTCGGCCGTCCGGGGCGCGCCGGGGGCCTCGACGTATAGCTCCGCCGCCGGGCGCCGCCGCTGCCCGCCGCGGCCTCGAGGCCGCGGCGCCTCCCGCGGGGCCCTCGGAGACGACCTCGGCGGCGACGGCGGGGGCCGCGCCCGCCCTGGCGATGGCGGAATCGCAGACGGAGGAGGAGGAGGAGGAGGAGGAGGAGGAGGAGGAGGAGGAGGAGGAGGAGGAGGAGGAGGAGGAGGAGGAGGAGAGCCCTTGCCTTCGTCGCGAATGGCGCCGCAATCCTTCGGGGGGGTGCTGGGCCCGCCCATATCCTTTTGGATCCGCTGCCTGCTTTTTCCCGCCCAGCGGGCTCGTGCCTCCCGCCGGCAACTGCGGCCGGCGAGTCCATGGGTCGAGTCGAGGACGGTCGCGGTTGAGACTATAGGCTGTCACGGGTGGCCCCTCGAGCACGGAGGCCCGGTCGCCCGTGGGCTGCGACGGCCGCGATGCGGCCCTGGGTCCTGCGTTGATTTTAACCGTCGCAAAAACAGTCAGGCATCGACTATAATGAGCAGAAACAACACACCGGAAGCTGACGAATTTAATTTTCAAATAAGCCACACGAACAGCTGGTTGCCGTGCTTCTGGACGTAGGCGTCGCGGCTGGCCTCGAACGACGTCGGCGCCACGTGGCGCCTCGCAGGCGTCCGCTCTCCGCCAAGGGTGCGCTCCTCAGACCTGTCGGTGAGCGCTGCTGGCGTGGCCGCCAACTGCCAGCCGTCCGCCGCCAGACCGTTCTTGCGCTCGGTGATGTCGCTGGCCGCCACGTGGGCCTCTGCCAGCTTGATCACACGGTAGTCGCTGCCCTTCGGGCGCAGGAGACCCCGAGCCTGCAGTCCCCCTTTCCGCGGCGCCGCCGAAGAATACCTGCGCCTTCGGCTTCGCCTGGTGGAGTGTGTGCATCTTGTCGCTAAAGACGTGGCCCACCAGAGCGAGCCATGTCAGGAGCCCCATCAGAAGCTGCCCCGCCCTTGCCAGCAGCCTGCCTCGCGGGCCTTGTTGAGCGCACCGGTGGCCGCCGGGGCGTCCTCGTCAGCTGCCATCTTGTCCTCCTGCGTAGCTTCGTCAGCGCTTGCTGCAGGAGTCGCACCGTTGGGAAGAGTTGGCGCCGCTTGTTCGGGTAGTTTTTGCCGCTGTGCTCCTGGAGGCTGGGCAACTTGTCGGGCTGATGGCTCAGGGCCTGCGGCTGCTGGGGCTGGGGAGTCGCCTGATCGCTGGCGCTTCGCGGGGTTGGCCGCCGACCCCTTGGCCTTCTGGAGGAGCTCCCTGGCGTGCTCCTGGCCCTCGTTGAACGCCTTGACTCGGTCCTCAAAGTTCCTTTCCACTCTTGAATCTGCCTGCTTGTCTCCCGGTCGTAGATGTTGGAGTCTGTCCGGCTGCGAAGGCGTCGTCGGTGGCCGGCTCCTGCTGCTGGTGCCCTCTCGCGGCGTACAACTTTGTCATGTGGGCTTCTCCGGTTTGGGCACGTGCGGCTTGTGCACGTAGCAATTCCAGGGCTGCACATTCTTGGGCGCCGATGCACTCGCGACCGTGTGCGGCCTCCTGCACTGCTCTGTCCATACTGAGCCTGCGGTTGCCCGAGCGCCGGCTACAGCGCCTGCTCATCTGTCTTCGGGGTGGGGGCTGGCTGCGGGCAGACTGCAGCCTGGATCTGTTCGAGCAGATCGGTGTGGGAACCCGTGAGGTGCTCGGAGAGGGCCTCGAGAAGGGCCTGGTTGGGGGGGGCGGCGCGCTGGTCGCTCTCTGTGGCTGGCTCTTGGACGCCCACGGTGGTGTGGAACCTCCCCACCAAAACCCGGCACGGTGCTTGTGCTCGCCAGGCGACGATGCGAGCGTCTTCCCGCAAGAGGAGCACTCCGATCACGCCAGGTCCAACGGTATCGGCACTGCTTGCTGACCTTCGGTGAATGGACTGGGTTTGCTCTGAAAATGCCTGCTCAACCACCATTGAAAGTACCACGCTGCCCGTCTCCACCCATTGCGTCGAGAAAGAAGGGAGAGACAGAGAGAGAGAGAGGGAAAGCGAGATAGAGAGAGAGAAGGAAAGAGAGAGATGGAGAGAAAGACCCCGCACGCTGGTGCCAGGTGCACCGTCTGGGGTAAACAAGACAGGATGGAGTTCGCACGCGCTGGTGCACGGTACGCGTCTGTGGGCGAACGCAGGCGGGGGAAAGATATGGAGAGCTGCCTCGGATCAGAGGTGTCCTCTTTCTCAACTGGGGGGGAGTCATCCTGAACCAAAAGAGCTACGGAAGGCCCAGTGTGGAGTAGCACGTCGGATCAGGCGGGGGACAAGAAGCCACAACAACATAAGCTGGAGCAGCAATCACTTTCGGGAAAGGAGCAGGCGCAGGACATGATCACACATATGAGAGAGGCAGATGATAACATATGGTAGTGGGAAGAGGAGGATGAGTACGAGGATGAGGAGTAGGCGCATGAGAACGACGGGGATGGAAGGGGCAAATGATGGAGGAGGAGCCTCCCCTCTATCCCCTCCCGCCCCCTCGCCTCCTTTCATGTTCATTACGCTCCCGTGCTCTCCCGTTCCCTCTCGTCAGGTCCCCCCCCGCAGTTCCGCTCCACCCCGACGTTCTCCCCCCGTCATTGACCCCTCCTGGCGGACTGGGAAAGACTACGCAGTTCTGCTGCCATATGCTACGCTGGGCCGCTGGTGGCTCAAGAACCCCGGCCGGCACGCCCGCACGCGGGCACACCAATTGCGAACACCGCCAGAGAATGCCCGCTCCACTCTCCGCTCCGCTCTGACCCGACACCCCCTGCCCTCGTCACCCATGCCTCCCCCGGCCCCTGCCCGTGCCCAGCCCCGCCCTCCGCGCCAGGCGCCGTCCCTGATCGGCGGGTGTGGTGTCGCAGCCATGCACTTGAGAGGCGCAGGGCCAAGAGGGCGAGCCCGGTGTATGGAGGATGATGCTGTGCTGAGGAGGACGAGGAGGAGCACTGGCGGACGAAGAGCCGTGTACCACAAACTTGTCCGCCATCGGGGACGCCTGTCCCAGAGCGGCTGGAGCAGGAGGACGAGGAGGAGGAGGAAGAAGAGGACGAGGAGATGTCCCAGAGCGGCTGCAGATGGCTTACACATACAAAGGCACGTCGGGAGAAAACTCAGCCGCTCTGGGACAGGCGGGCACGACGGTTGAACAGCTGATGGTCTACCGCTCTTCGTCCACGAAGGACGTGGGGGAGGCCTCGTCTGGATCCAGGTCCATCATGTGCGCGATGCCGTACCACTTCTTGTAGGCCGCCACGAACTGGGACTCGAACATGCCGAACTTCCCCACGACGCGCTTCCTCGCCCAAGCCCCCCTTCGCTCTGATCCCGGCCCTCACTCATCGTCCTAACATTGATCCGCCCCCAGTACTATATCTTTCTCTCGCCCGAGTTATAACCCACATGCCCCGTCTCAACGGCATCTCCTCCTCTCTCTCCTTCCCTTCCTCTCTCTTCCTCTGTTTATTATTCGTAGTAGTATAACTACCAGTATATCACTATTTGCAAGTGTATGAATAATTTATGTGTACTATATATATATATATATAATCTTCTTATATGTTTGCAAGCGGGGGGGGGGGGAACACCCCGTCCCCCCCCCCAACAACTGCACCCCCAAGATCGCGGGGTTCTGGGCCCCCCAGACATCCTTGCCAAAGGTCCCCCGGCTCATGCCAGACCTCCCAGGGCGCTCAGCCGGGTCCTGCCAGCAGGCCCCGAAGCGATCAGAAGAGAGGCCGAAGAAAAGACCCAAGACAGCACAAGAGCGCTCCAAGAAGGACCCAGAGAGGGCCTCCAGAGGCCCCCAAGACGGCCCAGGAGGCCCTCAACTGGGTGGGCTCCCAGAGTGCAGAATTCCCTTCGCTCCAAGCCTGGATTTTCAGCACATTCGCTGTTCGGGTCTTAGCAGCGTCCAAAACAGCAAGGCCTCCAGTTTTGCCCCAAGACGGCCCCAGAGATCCCCAAGAGAGCCTCTAGACGGCCTGGATGGCCCCAAGACTGCCCAAGGGAGCCCCAACTGAGCCAAAAAGAAGCCCAACATGCCCTCACAAGGCCCCGAAGCGATCAGAGCGGTGATCAGAGAGGCCGAAGAAAAGACCCAAAACAGCACAAGAGCGCTCCAAGAAGGACCCAGAGAGGGCCTCCGGAGGGCCCCAAGACGGCCCAGGAGGCCCTCAACAGGGCTCCCAGAATGCAAACGTCGCTTCATTGCTTTCGGGAAACGTGCCTTTTCAGCGCAATCGCTGTTCGGAGCTTAGCAACGTCCAAGACAGCCAAGAAGGCCTCCAGCATCGCCCCAAGACGGCCCCAGAGACCCCCCAAGACTGCCCAAGAGGACCCCCCCCCGAGACTGCCCGAGGAGACCACCGCGCCCGAGGCGGCGTCTGCCCTGGTGCCCGCGGCGCCCTCCCCAAGACTGGAGGCCGCGCGTCGGAACAAGCGGCGCGGCGACGTGCTGGGGGGGGGCGGGGCGGACCCTCGGGCCGGGGGTCGGGCCCGGGGCGAGCCAGTCCTGAACAGAGCTGCCTGCGGCGGAGTGGCGCGGTGGGGAGAGGGGCACCGCCGCAGCAGAGGAGGGTGGGCAGCGGGCAGCAGGAGGCGAGAGGCGAGAGGGCGGAGTCGAGAAGGGGGGGGGGGGGGGCGAAAGCGAGGAGCGCATGCGCCACGCAGCAGAAGAACGGAACCTCGGGCGAGCTGTTAGGACAGCTCACTCTAACGTGTACCACCTCGGTCTAGCAGCCTTCAGTGGCCTCGAGCGGCCCTTCGTGTGTCATAGAAGCAGCCTCTAGTGGCATTTAGTCGCCGTCGAAGGGGCGAGCACCAAAGGACATCGGGCCACGTGAATATCCAGCTCTCGCTCAGACTGGCCGCGCGCCATGTGCATCTGGAACTTCTGGGCAGACCTCTCGCGAGACCCGGCAGGACGCCCGCGCGGCCGTGGAAAAGTCCCGCCTCCGATCCAAAGTTGGAAGGGGGGAGCAGGAAGAGTGGGAGGTTGAGGAGGCGATGGAGGAGGAAGAGGAGGTGCAGGAGGAGGACGACGACGAAGACGATGAGAAGGCGTGTGTCGACAATGTCGGCCTCCAGAACTGTCTCTAGGCGAGAAAGCTGCCCCCAAAGAAAGAGTCGAGAGCTTTGGGGCTCACGGGTCCAAAATTCATAACGGTGCAGGTCTGGGGAACGGTACAGTCAAGCTTGATTGGAGAGGACACGCAAGAGGACACAAGACTTTTCCCAGGGACACAGTGCCATAATAATGTAAGAGACATGGGTCGCCAAACACAGGACGCAAGGGCACCATGGATTTTGCAGGGCCGACCTACTAATCGATCTCGACAGCAGGATGAGAAGATGGAGATAGAGAGGGGCGAGGGAGGATAAGGATGAGGACGAAGAGTGCACGAAGTCCATGAGGGAGCAGTCCAGGTGTAGATGCACTGGGCAGCTCTCAGGGCTCTGGTGTGCTCAATATGGGCCCTGCCCGTCGTAATCTGGGCAATGTCGTACAGCTTGTGCAACAGGGCATGTCGCAGCGCGTCACGCCGCGGTTCGTCATCATCCTTGGGCTGGCAGCCAGAGCCCAAGTCGAACAGTAAGACGTGCCGAGGGTAACCATCGCGGCAAGGTTGCCGCATGACTACACTTGATGCAACACCTTGCCATCTACATAGAATTGCGCTGCACCGGGCTCCAAATACTACACATGGTTCTCCGCTGCCTGCCAGAGGCGCCAGGAACGGCCTGCCGAGCATGCGGCGCTGGGCGGCGATGCCGCTGCTCACCTCGAAGGTGACACTGTCAATCGGTACAAGGTGGCGCGCGGTGCCGCTGACCATGCCGACGCGGCACGCAGTGCACAGCGAGCTTGCGCGAGCATGCATTCCAGAGGAGGGACGTGCAGACGACAATCGTGGCAAGTGGTTTGTGGCCTCGAGGACGGCCCATGCCCGCCGCGCAGCACAGCCTCGCGCCCGATTTCTCGGACGCAGCACTCGCGTGGCAGCTGCGCTCACTGGTGCTAGGTGGCTTGGCCCGCGGAGCGTGAGAAGCACACGGGGCGCCCCAGGAAGCTGAACACACAAACGGCTGGATTCGCGCGTGGGACATCCCGGAATTGAGCAGGGACCGACCGTCCCGGCATTCCTGTAGTCCTACCACGAAATGTCCTTAGAACCTAAAACTATTCTAAGAACAACAAAAACAAGGTTCTAAGAACATAACCCCGATTGGTTGAAACAAGACAGTCTCAACCAGACATGTTCTAAGAACATCTCGTGGAAACCACGCAAGGTTCTGAGAACATTGTTTGGCAGGGCCACAGGCGACCCAGGACGCTTCGCCACTGCTTGACGGAGGCCACCCGCTGCATATGCACACGCGTAAGCCCGGCGTGCCCGGCCCCAGATGGGGCCGAGCGCTGGAAGGGCGCCCGGCGCGCAGGCCCGCCGCGTCACGATCAGCCAGCTTCCCGACGCTGCGTGGCGCAGCTCTCCCTGCGCTGAGGGCCATCTGCCAGGCCACGGCGCAGCAGCTTGACGACGTCGAGGCCCAGGGAATGGCTGGCCCAGGCCGACGACTCCAGGGGACTGCTGGCATCCACTCCGTCCCACCTTCGTCACTCTGAAGTGAAGCTCGCTTTTTGCTGGGCGGTGGTGGAAACGCTGGCAGGGGCGGGGCAGACGAGCCACCGCATGCACGCTTTGGGCGAGCGCTTCGCGTGCAAGTTCGGCTGCCAGGCCGAGAACGGTACCGGCCACCAACTTAAAAAGGAAGACGACAAGGAGAAACACGAGCGAGTGGTCGACGACGACCGGGAAGGGGACAAGGACCAGGAGCTGAGCAGCAGGAGGAGGAGGAGGAGGAGGAGGAGGAGGAGGAGGAGGAGGAGGAGGAGGAGGAGGGGGCCTGAGGGCCTGGAGGAAGAGAAGGACTGGAAAGAAACGGATTTGACGGGGACGCGGAGGCCGCTAGGGAAGGGGAGCATACTGAGGAGGAGGAGGAGGAGGAGGCGAAACATAGGAGACAGACCGGGGAGAAATGCACGCATGAACATAACATAATGGAAGGGACAAAGGACCGCGAGCGATCACGAGGAGGAGGGGGGAATCGCTCGAAGCGCCAGGGAAGCAACTCGTAGCGGAACAGCCTCTGCCCCCCTCCTGACACACACGAGAGCACCGCTAGCGCGACAAGTCTCCGAAATGCTGGCGCGCGCCACCCGCAAGGGTGCAAACGCGTGCGCGGAGACGGCTGGGCCAGATCCTGGCACGGCACTGGGTGGGCGAGGCGGGGGCACGACGAGGCGGCGCCGAAGAAGAGCGGAAGCAACGTGCCGCTCCTGCTGGCCCTGCAGCCCGCGTGGGGCCGCCAGGCTGCGTGCATGCGGTTTTCTGTAGCACACTGACCTCATTCGCAACGCGGATATTGAGAACGGCCTGACTCCCCTCCTGCACGGCAGTACCCCCAGGGCCCAACGGCACATGTTTCAGGACTCAGAAGAACAACGCTGTTAGGGCGTCACGCATTCTGGAGCTGTGTGTTCTCAACCTCAGGGCTCCCAAGGTAGAGGCCTCCTAGATAGGGTCGGAGTAGATGGGGTCGGAGGATCGCGCCGCATCGCCGATGCATCGGCGATGCATCGGCGATGCATCGGCGATGCATCGGTGATGCGATGCATCGTCGTCGACGTCGGCGATGCATCGGCAATGTCGACGTGAAGCAAATCGGGCCCCACATCGAGCCACATCGGCAATGCACCGGCGATGCGGCTCGGTCCTCCGACCCCATCTACTCCAACCCCATCCAGGAGGCCTAGATAAGCTGCTCCAGCGCGCAGCGAGAGTGCTCTCGCCAACCAGCGCCAGGACGGAGCTCAGCTCAGCCCCGAAGAACGCCTCAAGGCGCCTGCTGCGCCCCGAGGCCCCGCCGCTCGAACGAGTGGGGGCCCCGAAGCCGCTGCTTGTGGCGCCCAAGGGGCAACCAGAACGCAATGAGGGGCCCAGCGCGGCGCACGGGCACGGCGCGGCACGCGCGCGGCACACCTCCGCCACTCCGCAGCACAGCACGGGCGCCGCACGGCACACGGGCGCTGCACACGGCACCCGGGCGTCACGCCTCTTCGCCTTGTGGAGACCTCGGCAGCCAGCTCTGGCGGTGCTGCGGGCCCCAAGAGTGTACACCACCACCACGCCGATGCCTCCTCCCTCCTCTGCCCTCCTGTCCCTTTCCTCGCACCCTGGGTGAGGGAGGGGGTTGAGGGAGAGGGTGGTGGTCCCAGACCCCCGACGTCATGAATTTTTCATGACGTCGACCCCCAGCGGTCTGGACCCTTTCCCCGGGACCGGTTCTTCGTCCTGAGTTGTCTTTTGACGGTCCCGAGGATCGGTAAGGGCCCCCAAAGGCCAAAAATAATGAAAAACCTCCCGTCGTGATTTTTTCATAACTCAAGGGGGTCTGGCGTAGATGTTTCCGCCCCCGTGCGCACGGCACCACCCCATCGCACTCGTGGCTCCGGCAGGCGCCGCCTCCCGAGGGGGCCAGGCTCCCGAAAGGGGAGAGAGGGCGAGGACCGCGCACGCCCTCCTCCGAGGGAGAGTGAGGAGGAGGAGGGAGGAGGAGGAGGGGGAGGAGGAGGAGGAGGAGGAGGAGGAGGAGGAGGAGGAGGAGGAGGAGGAGGAGGAGGAGGAGAAGGAGGAGGAGGAGGAGGAGGAGAAGGGGGAGGAGGAGGAGGAGGAGGAGGAGAAGGAGGAGGAGGAGGAGGCGGAGGAGGAGGAGGAGGAGGAGGAGGGGGAAGAGGGCAGGAGGACGCTCTCACGAAGCATGACGTGAACTGGCCCACCTCTCAACTTCCTCATCTAACAACCAGTGGGGCCGACTCTGCAATCACAAGCTGTAGGCCAATGCTCAAGCCCGGCTGAGCTACCGACAGGAAGCAATGTCGGAGACAGACACGTTGGGGTGCGTGTTTGCGAGGGCGACGCCAAAGAAGCAATAGACGCAACATCATCATGCCAATTCACGCCTACACCCATTTCGTTTTTGGGAGGTAGAAGAAAGATCCGCTGCCCCTCGAGAAGCCCTAACCCTGCTCAACGCAGGTGCCGTGCGAGTCCAACCGATGATCGGTACCAGGCCGTGTCATACGAGCGTGGCCGCAACTCGGCCGCAGCTAGTGGCTGGACTTCGTGTGATTAGTTGGTTAGCTCCCGTACGTCTACACCATTTTTCGTGCCCTAGTGCGAACCTGCACCTCAGAACAGAAAAGGGGATGAGGAGGCGCAGCAGCGGCGGCACGAGGAGGCGGGCAGAGAGGAGGAGGTAGGGGGGGAGGAGGACCTGAAGGAGGGATGGGGCAAGGGAGGGAGGAGGGGAGGGAGGGGAGGGGAGCAGGAGGGTAGAGGGGGAGAGGGGGAAGGGAGGAGGGAGGGAGGACGGGAGGGGGGAGAGAGGGGAGTGAGGGGGGGAGGGAGGAGGGGAGAGGGGGAGAGCACAAGCCAGGTGCGCAAGCGTCATCTCTGACGTCCTACCCCTCCCTCCCATCCCTTACCACTGCGTAGATCTACTCTCTATTCGCACAGTCGGATGTCGAACAGGGCAACGATCCCGCGAGAGCACGCGATGTATGGTATAGCAGGGCATAGCATGGCATAGAAGAGCACGGCCACAGCCGACGTCGTCGTGTGGAGAACTCGAACCAGTTCGACAACAAGGTCAGAGGTGACCCAACAATGGCACAGGACGGGAGATGCAAATGGACGGTTTGGAAAGCGGGGAGCGCATGAGATCAGCGCTGCAGCGGGAATACGATTTCGAAAGACCAAACCCGCAGAAATGAGACCAGCGCTACAGTGCGCTACAGTGGGAGCACGATTTGGAAGGACTGAAAGCGCGAAGCCAAAGCTGCGGCAGGAGCACGATGTGCAAGAACCGAAACAAAGAAATGAAATCAGCGCTGCAACGGGTACATGATTTGGAAGGGCTGGGAACGGGAAATAGCGGGAGCGCCATTCTGAAAGGACTGAAAACGTTAGGACGGGAAAGAAACAGATTAATTCTCAACTCGGCGGCAGGCATCCTGTGTAACAAACAATACGCGGAGGAGGCCAGGACACCTTACCAGTGTCTTGGGGGCATAGAGGAGAGTAGTATTCATATTGTGTAATTGTATGGGGAGGGGCGGGGGGAGGGAGGGGGGGAGGGGGAGAGCCAAGCTAGGTGCGCTCGCGTCATATCTGACGTCCTACCCCTCCCTCCCATCCCTTACCATGGCGCTGATTTTCTCTATCCGCGGACGCGTGTCGTAGCGGACCTGTGGCTCCGCGCGCGCGTGCGTAGTGGGTGGTGGTGCACGTGCGTGCGTGCGTGCGTGTGTGCGTGGTTGTCGTGTGGTGGTGGTGGTGGTAGGGTGGTGGTGGTGGTGGTGGTGGTGGTGGTGGTGGTGGTGGTGGTGGTGGTGGTGGTGGTGGTGGTGTGTGTAGTGGTGGTGTGTGATACTGGTGCTGGTGCTGGTGGTGGTGTGGTGGTGGTGGTGGTGGTGGCGGTGGTGGTGGTGGTGGTGTCGGTGCGGCGCGGTGGTGCGGGGTGGTGCTGGCGGTGGTGCTGGTGGCGGGGTGGTGCTGGCGGTGCGGCGGGGTGGTGGTGGTGGTGGTGGTGGTGGTGGTGGTGGTGGCGGTGGTGGTAGTGGTGGTGGTGGTGGTGGTGATGGTGGTGGTGGTGGTGCTGGTGGTGGTGGTGCTGGTGGTGGTGGTGTTGGTACTGGTGCTGGTGCTGGTGGTGGTTGTGGTGTGTGGTGGTGGTGGTGGTGGTGGTGGTGGTGGTGGTGGTGGTGGTGGTGGTGGTGGTGGTGGTGGTGGTGGCGGTGCGGCGCGGTGGTGGCGGGCGGATGGGCGCGCGAGAAAAAAGGCCCGCGCTGGGGCGAGAACGCCATCCTGAACGACGGAGGCCAAACACCGATCCGAAAATGAGGCCCACGCTGCAGCGGGAGCACGATTCGGAACGATTCGGGAGCAGAAATGAGGCCGGCGCCTCAACGAGAGCAGCATTTTGGGAAAAAATGACGCCGGCGCCTCAGCGAGAGTCGTTTCCCGGGATTTCCCGGGCATCCTGTGTAAAAAACAGTACGCGGAGGGTGCGCGGCCATCACCTGGACGCCATCAGGGGAAGAGGGAGAGTATATTCATATTGAGTAATTGTAAAGAAAATCGACGACGAGGCTCACCACTTGACGGACCCCGGCAAGCAGACGAGGCTACTGAGCCGGGCCCTGAAGCCAGAAGTCAGTGACTCGGCCACTGCTCTTTGAGGCCGATGAAGACGACGACGACGACGACGACAACGACGACGACGGCGACGACGACGCGACGACGGCGACGGCTACAGCGACGGCGACGGCGACGGCGACAACGACGGCGACGGCGACCACGACGACGACTGCGGCGGACCCACAGGCGCGCCCAGTCAGCGGGGCGTCGGCCACGACCGGCTCCCAGATGTCCACAGGGACGTCTGGCTCCAGGCACCTTCGTCTCCACTGCCGCAGACGCCGTGGTCAGGTGTCACTCGTCAGTAGTCGTCGGTCGTCTGTAGACAGTCTTCGGTCCTCAGTTGTCGTCGGTCGTCGGTCGTAAGTCGTCGGTCGTCCGTTGTAAGTCTTCAGACGTCGGTCGTCGGTCGTCAGTGGCGTCGCCGACGTCGCCGCCGCCGCCGTCGTCGTCGTCGTCTTCTTCGTCGTCGTCGTCGGCGTCTGACAGAGAGAGTGGGGTGGTGATGCCTGTCCGTCGCCGCTGACCGATCGACAGAGAACCGATCGAATACCGAAGTTCGGGGTTAGTTTTGTGGGAGGCGTGTCTCGGTAGAACTCGGAGTGGCGCACAGACAGCCCCCGGCGGTAGCCCCGCCTGGCCTCAACGCTTGCCTCAACAGGGCCCCCGCGTAGTACAGGACGGCTTCTTTGGATACTCAAGCTCCTGATGAGCAAAAGGCACACCTGCCTGCGGCTGCAGCACCTGGGGAGACCCAAGAGTGACGAGGCGGCGGCGGTCATGCCGAAGGCATGGCCTGCACCACGCTGCTGCGGCTGATGCTATGAGAAAACGCATCGCCAGCCACAGAGCGCGGCGGTCTCTTGGAGGCCCTCTAGACGGGGTCCGAATAGAGTAGCAGAAGGGGTCGGAGGATCGCGCAGCATCGCCGATACATCGGCGATGCACTGGCGACGTCGGCGATGCATCGGCGCCGCCGGCGTGGAGAACATCGGGCCCCACACCGAGCCGCATCGCCGATGCATCGTCGATGCAGCGCGATCCTCCGACCCCAGCTGCACGGGCTCCCTCTGCTTTGGGAGCCCACACGGCCCCCCCAATCCGCGAGGCCAGCCTCGTGATGCACACATGCGCGCAATGCGCCGTTTGGAGACCATCATGGATTCATGTACTCCAGATTTCGTAATAAAGGGAGGGGGGTCTCATTTCGGGGGGTGTCTCTTCCAGGCTATCTTGGAGGGCCTGGGGGGGTCTGGGGACGATGTTTTGGAGGGTTCTCCCACGGGGGAGGTCTGAAATGGCTTGTCTTGGAGGGTCCAGACCCCCTCCCTTTTATTACGAAATCTGGAGTACGTGTGTACGAGGAGGAGGAGGAGGAGGAGGAGGAGGAGGAGGAGGAGGAGGAGGAGGAGGAGGAGGAGGTCCTTGAACCTGGGAGGCCTAGACCTCAACGCCCCAGCCCTGGGGCGCCGCCGGAGGCCGCAGCGCAAAGCCGAGACAGTCCAGGGCTGCTCGGGGGGGCCGCGGAGGCCGGGCGGGGCCACCTCGAGGCGGCCGGGCGCGGCCCTGGGACTGACCGGCATGTCTGTTTTTTGGATTCAGGCAAGTTTACTTGCATGGCGTTCGCCCCCCCCTCCCCCCCTCCCCCTCGCCCTTCTTCAAGCGAGTACTAGCGTGCAAGTGCCTTTCGACTTGCGTGATTTCCGCGCCCCCACGAACGTGCAAGTCGTTTGCGGCTTGCTTCAGGCTCAGCCACCCCCCCCATCCATGCAAGTAAACTTGCCAGACTCTAAAAAAAACAGGCTCTGGCGTGTCTGGTCTGGCCTCGTCTGGGCCGGGGAGGGGTCCAGGGGCAAGGCGTGGAGCGGGGCTTGTGAAGGGGCCCTGGGACACACCAAGAAATAGACACAAATGACGGGATCCCCCATATTTTCTTTTTGGGGGGGGGGATTTTCGTCTTCCTCCCCCCACTTCCCATGTTTTCCTACATTTTCCTGGGAGTCGACGATGATTTTGTCTGTGTGTTTGTTCCCCTCATGATCTTGTTCGGGGCCGGGTGGGCGGCCAGGGGGGGGATTTGTTCGGGGGGACCTGGGGGAGCGGCAACAATGAGCGCACGTGCGTAACCCAAAGCCGCGCTCGGAGCGGTTGCCACTGAATGCCATACGAGGGTCCTCCTTCTCCTCCTCCTCCTCCTCCTCGTCCTCGTCCTCCTCCTCCTCCTCCTCCTCCTCCTCCCGTTCCCCATCTCGTCTTTACGTATCCTCCTCCTCCTCCTCCTCCTCCTCCTCCTCCTCCTCCTCCTCCTCCTCCTCCTCCTCCTCCTCTTCCTCGACCTCCTCCTCCTCCTCCTCCTCCTCCTCCTCCTCCTCCTCTTCCTCGACCTCCATGTATGGCCTGCTCGAGGCCACGCCATCATTGAGGCTGCTGTGACTGACGCCACTGGGCATGCCCAGGGCGCCCTCGCCTTCTGCATCACCCGTGGTTCCGTTTGTGCTGTAGGTGGGGGTGCCGAGGCTTGACCGCCGTTGCTCAGGACTGCGTTGGGCACCCTTCGTCTGGGCGGGAGAGGCAACTGGCCTGGATGTTGCAGGGCCGCCATCCTTCCAAGAAAGGCCTCGGGGGCTCTCGGGCCACCGTGTTGTCAAAACCTGCTCGATGGTACCCTTCATGCAAGATGGATCTGGTCTGGACGACCCGCCCTCGCTCGCTCCGCCGCGCTGCAGAGGTTCTATGGCCGCGTCGAGAAGTGGTGGGACTGTCTGGGCTGGGACTGGGGTCGACGTTCCGCGTGGCCTTGCACAACTTGGGCTCAGCTCTCGGGAAGAGGCTGAATCTCTCGGGGCTCGGTCGCGTGAGCGCCGTCGGCAGAGTGCGCCTCCTCCTCCTCCTCCTCCTCCTCCTCCTCCTCCTCCTCCTCCTCCTCCTCTCCTCCTCCTCTTCTTCTCCTCATCATCGTCGACGTCATCGTCGCCCGTCTCCTCCTCCTCCTCTTCCTCCTTACTTCCTCCTTACTTCCTCCTTACTTCCTCCTCCTCCTCCTCCTCCTCCGCTCCTCCTCCTCCTCCTCCTCCCCCTCCTCCTCCTCCTCCTCCTCCTCCTCCTCCTCCTTCTCCTCCTCCGACTCCTCCTCCTCCGACTCCTCCTCCAACGACGACGTACGCCGCTTGCGCGGGCTGCCGGCGCAGCACGCCGCGCCTCGCGAGCACGAGGGCGACCCCGCGGGGGACCTCACGCGGGCAGTGCACGGCTGGACCTGCAGGACAGAAGCGCATCCTCCAGGATTTTTTTCCGCAGGCGGCGGGGCTGAGGCAGTCAGCGCCAGCGTGGGGCCAATCGGGGCAACCGATGGGCGGACTGTCCAGCGTGCAAGAGGGAGGAACGAAGACGAGGGCGGCCGCGCGAGGGAAGGAGCGGGAGGGCGCTCAGACGCGGAAGAGTTCCGCGATGAGCGGGCCGGAGCGGCCAGCCAGGGCAGCACTCATATTCTTCAAGAGCACGAGACCCTCCGTCGGCCAAGACGCACAGAAACGCCAAGGGTGCCCTCCCCAGGATGCACAAGAACATCCAACAAGCACGAAAAACATTAGTACCCCTCCAGAGCCGACCTCGATCTCATACCTTGGTTCGACCGTACGCGTCAATGCCCGCGATATCGACCTCGTTGTCCTCCGTCGCTTACTCTGACTATCGGCGGCGAGCGGGGGGGGGAAGCGAGGAGGAGAAGGCCCTGTCGGAAGGCGGCGGGACTTTTCAAAAACCCTCGCGCCCTCTGAACAGCCTGCTGTGCCTCGGGGGAAGGCTCAGGGAACTTCTCCGAAGGCCGGGGGGCTTCCGAGCTTTCTGAGAGGGCCCGCCCTTCTCACTTCCGCGCCGGGGCTCGCCGCCGAGTTTGAGGTCTCCGGGTCATAGCCCAAGTCTCCAACGGCCGCCCGGGACGCTCTCGGCGAGGCGCAGCTGCTGGAGGACACCCCGCGGCGGGCAAACCGGCGAGGACCAACGACAACGCCCGAAAGCCTGGAACACGCGGACCTCGCACCTCGAACCTGGAGCTAAGTCGGGCGTGTCCCCCTACAGGGGGATCTTCGACGAAACATAAAACATATGTTAAACAAATACTCCAACATGATCAAACATATACAAGAAATAGTCCCCATACTATTGTTTTAACTATTTTTGAACATTCCCCCTGTAGAGGGACAGGCCCGACTTACAACTTGAGCCGCGGGGCCTCAGGGCGGCCCCGAAGAGCTCCAGGTCCGCCCGCTCCGAGAACACCAAGAAGACGCGCAGCGCCGCCGCCGCGGCCGGGCACGCTGCGAGCTCCTCGCTGCGCGCCTCCTCCTCCTCCTCCTCCTCCTCCTCCTCTCATCCTCCCCTCCTCCCTCATCCTCCCCCCTCCTCCTTCCCCTCCTCCACCTCCTCCTCCTCCTCCTCCCCCTCCTCGGGTCGCCTACGGCCCCTGTGGAAACTCCTAAATCCTCCTCCCCTCCTCTCCTCCTCCTCCTCCTCCTCCTCCTCCTCCCCCTAACTCCTCCTAACTCTCCTCCTCCTCCTCATCCTCCTCCTCCTCCTCACTCCTCCTCCTGACACGTAGCGACTCCTCCTCCTCCTCCTCCTCCTCCTCCTCCCAACCGCGCCGCGGAGCAGCCAGACCAGGTGGTAGGAGGTGGCGCTCAAATGCACGGAGCTCTGGCCACCACTCCCGTTCTGGTGCGTGTGCCAGGTGCGGGGCAGGTCCGCACAATGTGCTGTTCAGGGTGCCTTTCGCTCTGGGCTTCATCTCTGGATTCAGAGTCTGATCTCTCTACTCCGTGAGTGGTGAGGAGGAGGATGATGAGGAGGAGGAGGAGGAGGAGGAGGATAGATGAGCGAGGAGGATGGAGGAGGAGGAGGAGGAGGAGGAGGAGGAGGAGAAGGATGAGGACGAGGAGGAGGAGGAGGAGGAGAAGGCTGGTGCGGCGGCGGCGGCGACGACGGCGACGACGACGACGACGGAGGCGGACGAGCACATAATGAGGGTAAAAGATGGTGGGGGGAACCAGCGCAGGGGGGGGGGAAGCATCGAGCGATGCAACGCCGATAGATGGGCGATCGGCCATCGACAGCGGAAGCGCACGGTCCTGGGCAGGCCATCAGGCCCCCAGCGGCGATGACTGGCGGGGAAGGCTCCTGAGAAGGATGCTGCAGATCAGAAGGCACCGGCCCTCCATCTGCAGAGAAGGCCCGCGCCTGTTGAGAAGCAGGGTGCGTCTAAGAAGCATTCCCCCTCCCCCTACTGCCCTCTGCGGGTGGCCGAGACTGAGAGTGGGCGCCTGTGAGTTCCTCCACCAGCCTATCCCCTTAATGTTGCCCCTGACGGAAAAGCGAGAATATAAGACGACGAATAATAGAAAACGACGGATAATCAAATAGAAGGGACAATCGAAGACGACGAAGACGTCGAAGACGACCCCTGAAGGACAGGGAGAACAGAAGACGACGAAGAAGCTGCTTGTACGCAAACTCTCGGGGGTGCGCGTAGATCAGATGGGCCGGCGTGTGACCCCTGCGCCACCAGATAATATGATGCGCAGATCATCCCTGAAGGTCTGGAATCAAGCGCACGCACGCAAGGCCAAGCATCCGGCAACGCGCGCCGGCAAGAGCATCTCCAGGGCGCAGGCACATCCACACAGCAAGCATGAGCTGCAACATCGGATACTGGTGGCTACACGCCAACACCGGCCCTGGCCACGCCCATCCGTGGCCCTGGACAGGCGGGCGACGAATAGAAGCGTGTCCCTCGCGAGATTACGTGGTGACCTCACGCCGCAGCTTGCGCGGGCCGCCAGCGCGGCTCGCCACACTGGAGAGGAGGGCGCCTACGTGCGAAATTCAGCAAGCAACTTGCGCGCGAACGTCGGCGCAATCGGGCCCGTTATTATGCGATAAGCAGGTGCACATGTGACCGTTCCTGGGCAGCGGTCGTTTCGAGGGCGGCCAAGAGGGTGGCGTCCAAGAGGGGGGGGCGCAAATCATGGCCGGCGGCATGTGCGTGGCCCTTGGGGGGGCCAGGGACGCAGCGAAATAAGAAGAGGCGCCATGAAATCTGAGGAAATATCATGGCCGACGCCATGATATCCCCCCCCCCTAGTCATCACCCCCCTCTTGTTTGGAGTCCCGAACCGGTGCGGTGACAGACCGTGCGGTGACCTGGAACCCCAAGAGACCTCACCGCACGGTCCGTCAACGCACGGATTTGGGACCCTGGAGGCCCCTGTCGCCCGAGACGTCCTCGGAGAACGACCCGAGTCCCAAAACCGTGCGGTGACCCCGAATCCCCACCGACTCACCGCACGGTGTGGTCACCGCACCGTTTGGGGGACCCCCGATCGTCACCCGGGGGGGCGGGTTGGGGCGGGAGGGTAGCGGCAACGGCGGCCGCGGCGCGCACCCGCCGGGATGCGCTCGCGCCACCGGCGCATCAATCGCCTGCGCGCACCACAGCATGTAGGGGGGGGGGTCCAGGCCCCTCCTTCAAGTATCCGTCGGTCGGAAGAAGTGCGGCGTGGAACCAGGAAGTAGGGAGGAGTTGGAAGTAGATAGGGTTTCCGCCCACCCCCTGAAGAGGAGGGAAGAGGGAAAAACTGCCAGACTCTCTTGAAGTACGGAGGCGCCTCAAGTACACGGGGATCTGGAAATCCGAGAACACCTACTTTCAACGACTGGCGCGTACACTACTAATGTTACCCGTGCGGGGGGGGTCGGCCCGGGTAACGAGCGTGACTTTGAACGCCCGAAATGAACACGGAAAGATGGCTACAATGCCCAACAACAAATGTTGTCCCAAACCGACAGCGGCCGCTGTTGGGCAGGCGGCCTTCTGTCTCAAATTGACACAGGCCGCGGCGACACCGACAGCGAGTCCTGTTCAAAATGAACAGGAACTGCTGTTGGGCATTGTTAGAGGAAAAAGAACTATGCACATACACCGATTCTGGCCAGGCCCATCCTGAGCCCAGGATCGGTGCATACGCCCTCCCACCTTGGCCAGGAAGGCATACGATGCACCGATCCTGGGTGGTCAAGGATGGGCCCTTTGCCAGGATCGGTGCCCGTGCATAGCTCCCTTCGCCCGAATTGCACCACGCCTTCCCGTACCCACCTCGCTCGTGCCAAGTCCCCCTGGGGAGGAAGGAAGTGCTCACCAGCACGTCCTGGCCTGACCCATGGCCATGGCCCGCGGAGACCTGCGCACACCCGTACCCCGGGGCCCTGGCCGGCGGACCTCTGGCCGGGGTGGGCACGGTGGTGGCGCGCGGGCCCGCCGGCCCTGCGAGCGACCGCCGCGGAGAAGGCGGGGGCGGCCGGCAGACGGCAGCAGCGGCGACCGCCAGGGTTCCTCCTCTCCTCGCTCCTCGGCTCCTCCCTCTCCCCGCCTCTCTCCCTCCTCTCCGTTCCCTCCCTCCGATCTGCCTCATCCGCCTCCCTCCCCCCCCCTGTCCTCCTACCATCTTCCTCCTACCCTTCCTGCCTCCGCCTCCTCCTCCTTATCCTGCGCTACAACCTGAGGCGCAACCGAAGGTGACTTCGCCGCATCTCTTAAAAGGGACCACGCAGCCGAGAGCACTCTCCCCTGACCACGGGGGTCCCTCTTCGGCAGCATCTGGCACTGTGAAGGCGTAGGCAGGGGGAGGGCCATCAGCTAAAGTGCAGGGATCAGCTTTTGTGAGACGGCGTGCAGTGGCACAGAAACGGGCACTGTGAGAAGGACGCAGCAGAGGGTCATCAACTGCAGCGCTGGGCGCTCTTGTGAGAAGGAGCGCAATGGCAACATCTTGCACTGCGAGAAGGCGACCGCGGGAGTATCACACCAGCCAGTGTGCAGGGATCAGCTCGTGCGATAAGGCGGACGCAGGGGAGATCCATCAGCTATAATGCAGGAATCAGACTTTGCGAGGAGGCGTGCAGTGGAAGCAGGGGCGAAGCAACATCAGCTACATTGTTCAGAATCGCTCGTGCGCGACATGGCCCAGGGTGCGAATGCTTCCAAATCAAGGCAAGAAGATAGATAGCAAGGGACACACGCCGTCAATTGTCACGCGATTGGGCTCCGGCAGGCACCCACCTCAAGCAGAGCTCTCGTCGAGGCCAAACACAGTCGTCCTGGATGGGCCTGGGGGTAGGTGCAGCTGGAAATCGCCGCCGTTATTCGAGCTTCGGATCTCTGGAGGTTTGGCCAGTAGAACCCTGTAGGATCCTCCTCCGCATCCCACCTCCCCCCCTTCTCCATCCTGCCAAGAGGCAGCGCCGACAGAGGCCCAGCCTCTTGGGCCGTCTCGGGTCCCTGCTGGCCCGTCCGCTGCCTTCCAAGGCCACCTCTCTGGCCTCCCGGGGTGTCGGGCCGCCTTCGGGGCCCCCTTGGCCCCGAGACGCAGCGGGGAGCACCCGTCGGGGGCTGCACTCCGCCGAGCGGGACTCGCCCGGTCCCCGTCGGTGGTGCAGCTGCTCGCCGTCCTTGGAGGTGCCTGGGCACCCCGTCCGGCTCAGCGAGAAGGGCCTTCTCGTTGAGCCAGACGGGGTGCCCAGGCACACAGGTTGTCTGCGCATATTGTTGGCAATTCTCGCGTATTCATGACAACCATGTTGTAGGCATTTGTTCTGCAATCGAATATTTTTGCAAGAGGGCCTCCTGTCTGGGCCAACCGACGACACAAGAGAAGGCAACAACAGACGTGAAGGCAGTCTACGCTAGCGACGAGAATAAGATGGCTTGGCGCACGCACGTGGGCCGCAAGCGCAGCACGCTGCATCGAAAATGAGGGCGCTCACGCGTCATATTGCGCAGGCAGCTTGCGCGCGAAGGTTTAGGGCTTAGGGTTAAGGGTTTAGGGCAGGTCTCTGCGTCGTTCACGTGGGGTCCAAGCAGGTCTCGTCGCATGGCCGATGCATCGGCGATGCGTCGGCAACAGGGAGACGGAGAGAATCGGGCTCCGACTCGAGCCCCATCACAGATGCATCGGCGATGCGGCGCGATCCATCGACCTCCCTTCCCTCCTTTCTCTCCTCGCAAGGGGGCAGCCACCCCCGCCTCAGGCGAAGCCAGAAACCGCGACGAGCTCACATCGGGAGAAGTCTGTGATCTCTGAGAGCCGGCGGGACAGGAGAATGTGTCGGGCGCAGGGGCCGTTTCGGAGCGTTGCGGAACGCTTTGGAAGCGTTCGGGAACGCTCTGGAGCGACGTATCCCCTAATCCTGGGCCCTGCCTGACCGCCCCCCACCCCCGATTGACTCGGCGACGAGTCGCCGACAGATTGGCGCCATGCCCCCGAGAGCGGATCCGCTCCTTCCTGGGCGGGGTGGGCCATCCGGCCCCAGTCGGCGGCGAAAGGGAGATGCGGGGTCGATGCAGTCCCCCCCTGAGCCTACCCCTCTCGGCGCCCCCCAGTTTTCGAGCCACATCTCTGCTCTGCAGCGGCCGCTCGAATCGATCTGGACACCTCCGCACGCCCCGCGGCGAGGCGCAGCTGTCGAAACGCGTCCCGAGGCAGGTCCTCCGGGACCCACCGAGGCGCCCGACCACCCCCCCGCCTGGGCCGATCCACCCTGAGCCGTCTCCCTCTTTGGAGCTGCCCCGGGCCGTCCCGCAGGAACTGCGCCACCGCGTAGAAGCGCGGCGGGTGCACGGCGATCGACGCCCCCACTGCGCGGCTGCCGCGCTGGGCGGCCATCGGCGCCGGGGCGGCCTGCGCGGCGCACGGGGATCAAGGCCGCTACAGAGGTCGCCGTCGCCGTCTGTCGCCCGTCGGTGGTCGTCCGTCCGTCGGTGTGTCGATCGGTCGCCGTGGTCAATCGTCGCCCGTCGGTGGTCGTCCGTCCGTCGGTCCGTCAGTCGGTCGGCGTCGCCGTCCACCGCCGTCGCCGTCGCCGTCGCCGTCGCCGCCCTCCTCCTCCTCCTCCTCCTCCTCCTCCTCCTCCTCCTCCTCCACCTCCTCCACCATCTCCTCCTTGATCTCCCCTTATCTCCCCATCCTCCTCCTCATTCTCCTCCTCCTCCTCCACCATCTCCTCCTTTTCCTCATCCACTATCTCCTCTTACATCTCCTCTTATATCCTCCTCCTCCTCCACCATCTCCTCTTCCTCCTCTTCCTCATCCACTATACCCTCCTGCATCTCCTCATATCTCCTCCTCCTCCTCCTCCTCCTCCTCCTCCTCCTCCTCCTCCTCCTCCTCCTCCTCTCTGTCCCCCTCCTCCTCCCCCGCCTCCTCCTCCCCCGCCTCATCCTCCTCGTTGTTCCCTACCGTCGGGAACCTGGAGCGGCGGGCGCGCGGGCGCGCGCGGGCGCAGACGGCTCCTCGCCCGCCGCGGGTGCGCGGCAGTGCCGCGCGGCGGCGGCCGCCGAGAGCGCCGGACTGGCGCCCGCAGCCGGCGGCGGCCTCGACGCGGCCAGCGGCCAGCGGCGGCGGCGGCAGCGGCGGTGGCCACGACGACGACGACGACGACGACGACGACGACGACGACGACGACGACGACGACGAGGACGAGGACGAGGACGAGGACGAGGACGACGACGACGAGGACAAGGGCGAGGACGAGGGCGAGGAGGAGGAGGAAGACGACGAGGACGACGCGCCCGCGGCCGGCAGCGGCCTCGGCGCGGCCGCTGTGGGCGCCGCGGCGGCGGCGGGCGGCGCCGCGGCGGCCACGGGCTGCTGCGAGGTCGTGGCCTCGCGGTGGGAAGGTCCCCCCTCATCGGCTACCCGCGTGACCCTCGGCAAGGGTGACCTTTGGTGCGCGGACTGAGGGAACGCAAGGTGGCCAACTCCAAGCGCGCAAGCAGCCGCCATCGCATCGCGCTCAGCGATCCGGAGGACTCCGACGATCCGCTCCAGAGGTCACTCCGGCCAAGGGTCACTGTTGCTTGCGTGTAGTCGGCCCCAGATCCTGGCGCTGCAATTCTTGCACCACGGGCGATTCCGCCTGGTTTCGGGCCCTAGGACCCTCACGGATCGCTCCAGCTCGAAAGACGACGCGCAAAAGGTGGCGTCCCGAGCTCCAATCGCGATTCTCCGAGTCTTGGAGGGAACGTGGGACCACACGGTCCCCAGACTTTGAATCGGCGACGCTGGCAAAAGCAGGCGCGGGTGCCGGTGCCAGCAGGGCGCGCCAGTCTGAAGGGGCCCCAGGACACACAAATAAATACACACAAATAAAAATATTCCCCATATTTTCCCATATTTTCTGGGTTTCTGTCTTCCCCCCCACTTCCCATATTTTCCCATATTTTCTGGGAATCGCCGATTAATTGTGTCTGTGTGTTTTTTCCCCTCCTGACAGTCGCGGGACGCGGAGAGAGCTGCCACGCAGGATGCAAAAGACGGGCCCGACGGTCGAGGATCGGCGGGGGGGCCGTCGCGCGAGCGGCCTCGGGCCCCCGGGGGCCCGCTGCAGTGCGAGTGCAGGAAGCACAGGAGGGCCTCAGACACGCAGTGCCCTGACAAAAATTAGGACCTCCTCCTCCTCCTTCTCCCCCGCCTCCCGGAGGTTTCCCTCCATGTTCAGGCTCTCTGCGGGCCCTTCCCGAGCCCCGGGATTGTCAAGTGAACGGCTCGCGATGGAGAAGAGGCACTGGTAGAGGGGCAGGACTTCTGGAGACCGTGGAGAAAATCGACACACGCAGGGGAGAGGGCAGGATCCTCGGGAATGGCGATCAAGGTTCGAGGTTTGATCCGCAGCGGGCCAAGGGGGGGAGGCGAGGGGGGTGCAGGCCCCTCCCACTTCCCCCTAGGGCTCGCCGCCGACGTTAGGTTTTCGGGCATGTCCCCCTATAGGCGGATTTTGAATGAAAAACGGAGAAGAAATCGCCAAACATAATCACACATAGCCAAACATAGTTTGAAGCAATCGTCCCCAGACTATTGTTATACTATTTTCGCATGTTCTGCCTGTGGAGGGACAGGCCCGACTTAACCCTGGGCCGCACCGCCGGCGTCAGCTGTTCGGACGTTCTCGTGGGCTGTCGGTGGCTTTCCAGCCGCGGGCTGCTTTGCGGCAGCTGCGCCCCGCCGACCCACCAGTTTCATTGGTGGTAAGGTCGGTTTCATCCAGCATGCTGGGGATTTAGAAGGTGAGTTCCGTGATCCCGTTCAGGACCTTCCCAGACATGCGACGTCCTGATTTTTTCAGGACGGCGTCCCCAGAAGTCCCGACCCTTTCCCCGGGACCGGTTTTTCGTCCTGAGTCGTTTTCTGACGGCCCCGAGGCCCGGCGAGGGCCCCCATAGGCCGAAAATAGAGGAAAACTTGCCGTCCTGATTTTTTTACGACGCGATCATGTCTGGGTTCGTTTCCCTTAGGGATTCGGGGGGACTTCGCACTTTGCATATCCTGCCCTCGCCCGCAGCGTAGCGCATCCCCGGGGGATCCTCCAGGACGACCGCCGGAGGCCAGAGCCATGACCTGAAGACCGCGGCGAGGCGACGCGCCGGCGTGCGCCCCGACGGGGGGGCGGCCCTGCAGGGGTGCGGCGTGCGGGCCGGGGCCCGGTCAGAGCTGGCAAGGTCGGTGCTGTGGTCAATACCCAGACACCCTCGAGTCGTGAAAAAATCACGACGGGAGGTTTTTCGCTATTTTCGGCCTCTGAGGGCCCTTACCGGGCCTCGGGACCGTCAAAAAACGACTCGGGATGAAAAACCGGTCCCGGGGAATGGGTCTGGACCTCTGGGGGTCGCGTCATGAAAAAATCACGACGTCGGGGGTCTGGGTAGCAAGTTTCTCTTCCAATGCATCCCATTGTTGTTGGCTTGTAGCAGGTCGTAACCATTGTTTGGCATCGTTGCCGCCGCCGTCGCTGCTGTCACGACCAGAAAGCCAGGCGAGGGGGAAGTCGGAGGAGAGCCAGTCGAGACAACGGCTGCCCTCCCCATGGCGTTCACCGTCCCTCCTGGGCCTCCTAGGGCTTGTCGTCGCCACGGCTGGCTCCGCCTCGACGGGCCAAGACAGACCCCAAGATGGACCCCTCCCTCCCTCCCTCCCCGCCTCCCTCCCCTCCTCCCGCCTCCCTCCCCGCCTCCCTGCCCCCCTCCCCCCCCCTACCCCCCTCCCTCCCCGCCTCCCTCCCCCCCCTCCCTTCCCCCTCCCTTCCTCCCTCCCTCCCCCCCTCCCTCTCTCCCTCCCTCCCTGCCCCCCTCCCGTCTCGCGCCGCCGGCTCCCGAGTGGGACCGGCACCCCCTGCGCCCCAGAGGGACCGACGGCGATGCCGGAAAGAGGTCAGTCCGGCGGGGACTAACCGAAAGGCAGGTTCATTCGCTGGCGCTCTCTGGAAAGAGGAGGAAGAGGCAGGGAGGAGGGGGAGGAGGAGGCCGCGCAGGAGGCGCACCGGCAAGGGCGGCCCGGCAGGGGACGGGGAGGGACGAGGAAGGGAACGGGGGACGGGGGGCGGCGGTGCCCGTCGGCGTGGTGGTGGTGGTGGTCAAACTGGTGGTGGTCGTGGTGGTCGTGCTGGTGGTAATCGTCGTGGTGGTCGTGATGGTGGTGGTCGTGGTGGCTGGGAGGTGTGGTCGGTTTGCTGGTGGTGCTGGAGGTCGTGGTGGTCGTGCTGGTGGTGGTGATTTTGGTAGTCAGTCAGCTGGTGGCTGTGGTGGCCGTGCGGGCGGCGGTGGTCCTGAGAGTCGGACGGGCTGGTAGTGGTCGTGCTGGTGGTTGGTCACGTGGTGGTGATAGTGGTCAGCGCCTACCTCCCCAGGGCGCTCAGGATCATCTCAGCATTTCCTTGTTGTAGAATGCGTGAGATGTCCCGCCAGATCCGGCTCAAGAGCTCGGACCGGTCGGCATCCTCAAGAGAGGCGCCGCAGCTCCGAACGAAGCTTACTGCCTCGTCAGACGGCCGCCCCCCGGTCTCGAAGACCATCGGGACGAGGTCTAGGCCCTCCCGGGGGGGGTACCGGCCCCGTTTGTCGTCGACCATCTGGGCTGCTGCGAGTCCGTCTCGTTCGGCTCGGGCGCGCCTGCGTGGGGCGTAGGTGGAGTGTACGCAGGTCACCGCCCAGTCGACAAAGATGGGTCGACCGGTGCTGGGGTCGTGTGTCCGGATGTCCAACTTTGCTTCCTGAAGGACCCCGGTGTGGGGATGACGGCGATCCCACGCTGGCACGTGTTGGTCCGTCGGAGCAGCATGACCTGTAATTTCCTTATGCATGGATGCATGTCGGTCCCGGAGGCGGTCGTGCCGGGCGGTGCGGGATTGGCCCACCTCGCATGACTTGGCATGAAACCCGTGTGGGTCGAGGGGCTCTCCGCACAGCGTGCCGTCTTGTCGTCGGTGTTGGCAGCGCGAACCAGCGGGGCAGACTGGTGCTCGCAGCCGGCACATGAGGTTCACCTCGAAGTGGTCGTCTGGCTGCAGAGGGTCTCCTGGTTGTCGAGGTTGGAGAAACGCCCCTGCGCCTACGCCGCCGCACTCCCGGAGTGCCAGCCGGTCGTTTTCAGGGAGCTCCCGCAGCAGTCGTTCTCGGTTTTTCCCGGAGGCTGCCTTGCTCCACACGCCCTGGAGCTTAGCGTAGGGTTCCTGAAGACTGCGGGCCCAGTCGATGGGCTGTCCAGCTGTCGCCCCCGAGGCTTGTAGCGCTTGCTCGGCTTGGGCGAGCGCTCGGAGGGTCCGCGGGCACCGCGTCCAGAACCCCTCCAGCGTGCTCACGTCCAGGCACTTTGCCACGTCGTGGAGGCAGAGCGCCCAGCTCGCGGCGTAGGCTGCTGGTGCGGTCTGGGCAGCGGAGGGAATGGCGCACCCTCCGTCTGCGAGGCGCATGGTGGCCTGCAGCCTCTGAAGCTCGTCCAAGTGGCTCCCGCGCAGGAGGTGTTCTAGGGCCGAAAACACCACCGCGTCGAGCTGCTCCACCCAGTTGCTCTGCAGATTGGCTCGCAGGTGGTGGGTGACGCATCCTTGGGCGAAGGTCCGCAGCAAGGTGAGGTAGGCCTCGGCGGAGAGCCCAGCCTCTCGGAGGTCCCGGAATCTCTGGGTGAAGGCCTGCGCCTGTTGCGCTGCCGCCGCGCCGTCTTCCCCTGCGTGAACCAGAGCCCGGTTCTCCTGTTGGTCGAACCAAGGCGCCGTGTTTCCCAAACACTTTAGGTGGTCGACTCTGTGTGCACGGACAGCGTCTGGGAGGCCACTTGTTCGGTCCGCTGACCATGCCTGGGTTTTGTTCTCGTTGACCGTCAGGCCGTGGTTGGTGAGGGCGCCGACAACGAGTTGCTTCGCTCCTGCTGCGTGCTCCAGGGGCGCAAACACCATGATGTCGTCTAGGTAGGAGAACACGTGGCAGGCGGTGGAGAGGTGCTGGAGGCCCTGGGAGATCTCGTCCAAACAGTCCGCCACTGCAATGGCGAAGAACGCCGGTGAGAGCGGGCAGTCTTGGTCCACGCCTGTTGCGGCCGTCACCGGCCGAGCTTCGTTGGCGTCGTCCCAGTAGAGGTGCGTAGTGGCGGTCCCCAGCCAGGAGTGCGCGGCGCGAAGGCAAGATCCCTACTTGCCTCCCTCCTCCCCCCTCCCTCCCCCCCTCCCTCCCTGCCTCCCTCCCCCTCCCTCCCCCCCTCGGGAGGGCCTGCAGGGCGAAGGCAAGATCTCACCAGGCCGGGCGTTTAGCCAGAGGTGGTCCGGACCCCACGGCGGTTCCCAGCTTCTCCGCGCCTGCTCGGGCCCTCGTGGACCTCGCGCTGCGGGGGCGCTCTGGAGGCCATCTGCGCCTCCCTGGGAGGGCAGGGCCGTCCGAGGCCGCTCCTGGAGGAGGAGGGGGAGGAGGAGGAGGAGGAGGAGGAGGAGGAGGAGGAGGAGGAGGAGGAGGAGGAGGAGGAGGAGGAGGAGGAGGAGAGGAGGAGGAGGAGGAGGAGGAGGAGGAGGAGGAGGAGGGAGGAGGCGGAGGAGGAGGAGGAAGGAGGAGGGGGGGGGGAGCGGGAAGAGGAGGAGGAGGAGGAGGAGGAGAAGGAGGAGAAAGGAGGGAGGAGGAGGAGGAGGAGAAGGGGGGAGGAGGGAGGAGGAGGAGGAGGAGGAGGAGAGGAGGAGGGAGGAGGAGGAGGAGGGAGGAGGAGGAGAGGAGGAGGAGGAGGGAGGAGGGGAATGAGGGAGGAGGAGGGGAGGAGGAGGAGGAGGAGGAGGAGGAGGGGGAGGAGGAGGAGGAGGAGGGAAGGGGAGGAGGGAGAAGAGGAGGAGGAAGGAAGGAGAGGAGGAGGAGGAGAGGAGGAGGAGGAGGAGGAGGAGGAGGAGGAGGAGGAGGAGGAGGAGGAGGAGGAGGAGGAGGAGGAGGAGGAGGAGGAGGAGAGGAGGAGGAGGTGGCAACTCCCGGTCCAGGCCGCCACACTTTTCAAAAAAAAAGAAACCCGAGGTGCCCAGCGAGCCGCGCGGCTCGCGCTGGTCGCCCCAGGAAGAAAAAGCCGGGGCACCTCGGCAGACAAGGCCGTGACGCGCGAAGCGCGACCGCCTTCGCGCCCCCTGGGGGGCGGCCCAGACGAAGGGCCCGGACTACAAGGGCCACCCCCGGACCACAAGGGCGCCTCCCCCGGACTACACGGGCCCCCCCCCCGGGGACTACAGGCCCCCCCCTCCGGGACTACCTACAAGGCCCCCCCCCCCCGAACTACAGAGGTCCCCCCCGCCGGACTATGGTCACCCCATCACTATTGAGGCACTTAGAGTAGAAGGGAGGATTGACGAGTCGGCTCACGTGGCTGGCTTTCCCGAGGTCTCCCAGCGCCAGAAGCGCCCAAGGTGTCCAGGAACGCGCCCCGGGTGGCGGGGCTGAAGGGAGCTGCATGCGTCACGCAGCAGATGTCGTACCCCTTTCTCTTTTACCAATCCGCATTCTTGCCCGAATCGAGATCCATCAACATCAAATCGGGGAACTGGATCGCATTGGCATGTGCATCGGATCGGGCCGCATCCTGACGGGGTCGGGCTCGGATCGGATTGGTCGCATCAAACTACGCAACAACGGCATGCAACATCTGGGCCACTTCGGACCGTCGGAAAAACAGGCATAGGGCTGTAGAACCCCCCCCCCAAGACTTGGGCACAAACTATCTAGTCGGCGACCTTATTGACGGACTGGGGTCCCACGAATAATGGAAAGTAGAAATTTATCCACGACACCCGCCGCACAACAACAACGACGACTACGACAATGATTACGACTACGTCCACGGTGCGGATACGGCTACGTCCACGACGACGACTACGAGTAGTTAGCGACCACGACTACTATTACGACTCACATTGCGACTACAATTACGACTACGAATGCGACTACGGTTACGACTACAGCCACGACTACAATCACTACAACAACCACTGATTCTTATTGCAATCGTCATGGAACATTTGCTCACACCTCCTCTCGCGCGTAGGGAAACCCAGAATCTATTATTCGGTGGAACAGATAACCCAACATTATCCAGCCCGCCCACTAGTAGAGAAACAAAAACCCGACGCGACGGCGACGACGACGACGACGTCGATGACGACGATGACTACGATTACGACTACGACTACGACTGCGATTGCGACTACAAGCACCACCGCGAGGACAATCACGGTTACACTCACGATTACAGCCACGACTGCAATCACGACTACAACCAGAAGCACGGACCCCTATTGAAATTTAATTTAAATTAGATTATGCTCACGAACCCTGTCGCGTGTAGGGTCGCCCACATTGGAGTATTCTCCGGGAAAGAAAACCCCAACACTTGCCAGCCCGCCCAATCATAGAGGAAACAATCTCCGCCGAGACGACGACGAAGACGACGACGTGGAGGTGCGAGTTCATCCCCCGACGAGAGCAACATGGGGGTGTCCAACTGAAGACCTCCTGAGGAGATCGGAATCGAATCGGATCGGACGGCTCGGAATCGATGCCGAATCGGACCGATTCTCGATCCTCGGGCCTCGAGCCGTCTCCTCCATCCCTCTTGATCTCGATCCTCGATCCTCGATCTGTCTCTTCGGTCCCAGAGCTTCGCGGGCCGCCGAAATGTCTCTCCGGCGAGAACTGAAGAGGAGCAGGGGGAGGACCGGCGAGGGGGGGAGGGGAAGGAAGAGGAGACGGGGCTGGAGAGTCAGGAGGATGAACAAGAGGATGTTCCAGTGAGCAGGAGGACGTAAGACGAAGCCAGGATAGGCACAAACTCGAATGAGGATGCGCCAGGGATCTTTGAGAGCCAGCGGGTCTAGAGGCCGTATCGGGCACCGCGCCCGTCCCAGAACGCTTCAAAACGCCCTGCGAGCACTCCAGAACGCTCTGGAGCTGTGTGTGGCCATCTTGAAGCCTCCGGGGGCGCCCCAGAAGGGGGCGTCCAAGAGGCGGGGTGCGCAGCATGGCCCAAGGCATATGCACTGCCCAAGGGGGGGGGCCAGGGGACGCACTTGAGAACTAGCAGGGGCCATGGGGAGACGGCATCGCCTCGTCACCTCGCCACGGGGAGACAGCTGCAGGGCAGGACGAGGGGCCCTGTGCAGGAAGGCCCGAGCTGGCCTCCAGCAGCCGCTCCGAGCGGTCCTGGTCAAGCGCTGCCGTCGCGCGCTCCAGCACCTGGGCTACGAGGGGGGACAGAGGAGGGGGCCTCCTCCTTACCCTCGCCCTCCTCCTCCTCTGGCGGCGGCCGCGTCTTCGCCCGCGCCGCCCAGAGCTCTGCAGTCGGGAGCCGGCGCACTCCCTCGCCGTCCCTCAAACGGGATGGCTCCCCCGGGAACAACGCGCAGACGGGGTCGCCTCCTCCTCGGCCTCGTCGGCCTCCTCCTCCTCCTCCTCCTCCTCCTCCTCCTCCTCCTCCTCCTCCTCCTCCTCCTCCTCCTCCTCCTCCTAGTCTTCCTCCTGTCCAAGATGGGGCTGGATGGCCCACCCTCTCTTGTGCCTCCCAGCAGCGCTCTGTGGGATCGTGTCGTCTGGACAGGGTGGGGGGATGAGACTGGTGTCGACCTTGTGCAAAGCCGCGCTCTTTTCGGGTTGAGCTCCCGCGAGGAAGTCAAGACGCTGAAAGGCTCGTTCGCGGGAGCGTCCTGTGCCGCTCCCCCCCGAGTACCTCGCCCGACTCGCTTGGAATATGTTTGGATGCATGCTTCATGCGGCTGCGCCGTAATAGCCGTTGCCGTGCTCGCCCTTCTCATGCGAGGAGAGCGTAGCCATCCAGCTGTAGGCAACATCCCCCTGGGGTTGGGCGCCCTGTCGCCTACGTGCAGCGGGTTGAAGAAGTACTCATCCTCCAACTCCTCCTCCTCCTCCTCCTCCTCCTCCTCCTCCGCCTCCTCCGCCTCGTCGTCGTCGTCCTCCTCCTCCTCGCCATCGTCCTCGTCCTGCTGCTGCGTACGCTCGTGCGGCGCTTCCCAATCGCCGCGCGACGCGGCCGCCTCAACGCGGCCCCTCCACCAACGACGGGCCGCCGGGTACGTGTTGGCAAGAGGGGGAGGAGTAGGAGATGGAGGAAGAGGAGGAGGAGGAGGAGGAGGCGGAAGAGGAGGAGAAAGGAGGAGGTGGAGAGAAGGAGGAGGAGGAGGAGGAGGAGGAGGAGGAGGAGGAGGAGGAGGAGGAGGAGGGGGAGGGGGAGAGCGGCGAGCTAGGTGCGCTCGCGTCATATCTGACGTCCTACCCCTCCCTCCAATCCCATACATGGCGTCGTAGATCTCTTCTCCATTCGCACAATCGGATGTCGTAGCATGGCATAGCATTACATGGCATAGCATGGTGTTGAAGATCAACGCGTAGCATTATTTAGCATAGCGTGACGGCGCCCCAAAATGGGGGTCTACTGCGGCCCCCCCAAACCAACGAATCGACACCGAAAGTAGAATCACTTCCGATGTTTTTTTTCGGGAGGCCATTTTCTAGATTTTGGAGCATACTTGGAAGGACCGAAAACCATGCCGTGGCATGGCGCTGGAAGTAATGACGCCAACGCTGCAGCGGGAGCACGATTCGGGACAAGCAAAAGCGCGGAAATGAGGCCAGCGCTGCAGCGGGAGCACGATTCGGGACGAGGCCAGCGCTTCGGGAGCAAAATCTTGAACAAAAAAAGCCCAACCGAAAACCCAACTCCCGAGAATCCTGTGTATAAAGCAAATACGCGGAGGGGGGCTGGACATCTTCCAGACGTCATTAGGGGAGAGAGGACAGTAATACTCATATTGTGTAGTTGTCGAGGGAGAGCCTGGGCGAGAGGCAGGGCGGGCGACCTGGCCGCACAGTCCCTCTCCTGCGGGTAACTAACGCTCGACAGACGTCTGGACTCTGGCACCGGGCCAGAAACAAGGCCGAAACCGAAGCCACGACGACGACGACGACGACGCCGACGACCCCAACGACGACCCCGCCCCCCGAGAGGGAACGAAAACGGGGGGGGGACTGGCTCAGAGGGGGAAACATCAACTCGGAATCCGCGCAACCCTCCGAAAGATTCTGTTTATGCAGTCAGCCAGCCTCCCGATCCCAAGAGGAGGGGGAAGGAGGAGGGTGAGGAGGGAGGGAAGGGGAGCGGGAGGAGGTGGAGCTTCGAGACAGGGAGAGAAAGAGGGGGAGGAGGAGGACCGATCCCCAAACCACGCCCTGTGACCGCATTGGAGCTTACGCTGGTGCAGCGGTATCAGGCGACAGCGGTGGCGACGGAGGCAGTAGCGGCCACGGCGGCGGCGGCGGCGGCGGTCGGCGGCGATCCTCGACCCACGATCGCTCGATCGGCTGGGCGGCGAGCGCCAGCGCGGCCGAGCGGGGCGGTGGCGCGCTCACCGCTCCTCGGTCATTCGATCAGCCGCGCGGCGGCGACGGCGGCGGGCACCGATGCTGAATCAAAACTCCCGGGAACCGCATCCTGATTCGCCACCGATGGATCGATCTCCAAACATCCTCCGAGATGATATTGCCCCATCCGCGGCCCCAGAACTCCCGGCCCGACCCCTTCCCCGTGGGGAGTTTTCCGTCACCGATGCCGAAACAAACCGTGTCGTTGGAGATCTGGGGTCTCTTTCTCGATCGGCGGTCGGTCGTCGACCCGATCGATCGCTCGGCGGCGGCAGCGGCAGGCGCCGGCCAAAAAGAGGAACAACCGCAGAAATCGCGACGGAAGCCCAAAAAGATGAACAATCGCGCTTCGCTGCATTCGTCGGGAGCCCGGAGCCAGGCCGAAACGCCCGTTGCAAACAAAGTGCGACGCCGTTGAGTCCCAAACCCACGACGTCACGATCTTTTTTCACGACTCGGCCCCTCCCCGGGACCGGCTTTCCATCCTGCGTCGTTTCTCGACGGTCCCGAGGCCCAGCGAGGGCCCCCGGAGGCCGAAAATAACCTCAAGACTCCCGTCGTGCCTTTGTCACGACGCGATGGGGTCGGGGAGCTCAGGTAGGGGGCCACATGCGAACCCTACCCCTACCCCCCACGATTTCTGAGGGGGAGGGTGGGGTTCACTTCGCTCGGGAGCTCCCGAACGAAGTGAACCCCACCCCCCCCCCTCAGAAATCGTGGGGGGTAGGGGTAGGGTTCGCATGTGGCCCCCTATCAGGGTCGATGGATCGATCGTCGGTCGGTCGTCGATCCGATGGATCGCTCGGCCGGCGGCGGCAGAGCGCTGCTGGCGGAGGGCAGCGCACCACAGAGGGGCCCAGGGACACACACATCAATGAGCACAGATCCCAGGACTCTCCAGAACTATTCTTCGTGTCTTCTCGATGCTCGTCTTCCCCCCCCCCACACACACTTCCCATATATATATATATGTATATATGTTTCCTTGATGATCGTGGGTGCCGACGGCTCTCTGTGTCCGTGTGCTTCCCCTCCCGGGCACTATACATGTATATATATATATATATATATATATCCTTGATGATCGTGGGTGCCGACGGCTCTTCGTGTCCGTGTGCTTCCCCTCCCCGGGCACCAGCGCGGCCCAGTCCTGCGGCGTCGGCCTGCCCTGGAGTCCGGGGGCGCTGGGCGAGGCCCAGAGCAGCAGGGCGCCCTGCGGGGGGGCCCCCCCCGGGCGGGGGGCGAGGCCACGGCTCGAGGGGGAGAAGGTAACCTAACCTCCTCCTCCTCCTCCTCCTCCTCCTCTCTCCTCCCCCTCTCCCTTCTCCTCCTCTCCTCCCTCCTCCTCCTCCTCCTCCTCCAGTTCTCCTCCTCCAGCGCCTCCTCCTCCTTCTTCTCCTTCTCTCCTCTCCTCCTCCTCCTCTCTTCCTCTCTCCTCTCCTCTCCTCTCCTCCTTCTCTCTCCTTCCTCCTCCTCTCTCTCCTCTCCTCCTCCTCCCCTCCTCTCCTCCAGCTCCTCCTCCGGCACCTCCCTCAGCTCCTCCTCCTCCTCCTCCAGCTCCTCCTCCTCTCCTCCTCCTCCTGCTCCTCCTCCTCATCATCCTCCAGCTCCTCCTCCTCCTCCTCCTCCTCCTCCTCCTTCTTCTCCTCCGCCTCATCATCTCTCCTCCTTCTCATCATCTCATCCTCATCCTACGAATCCTCCTCTTCATCCTCAGCTTCGTCATAATCCCAAGCATCCCCCCTCCTCATCCTCATCCCCATCATCAGCATCATCATCATCATCATCATCATCATCATCATCATCATCATCATCATCATCATCATCATCATCATCATAATCATCATCATCAGCATCATCAGCAGCATCATGATCATCATCATCATCATCATCCTCATCATCATCATCATCATCATCATCATCATCATCAGCACCAGCACCAGCACCAGCATCAGCAGCAGCATTGTTTCCATCCTACTGAACATCCTCCTCATCATCGTCAACACCTGCATCATGGTCAACATCATCAACATTATCAAGCTCATCCTCATCATCCTTGTTACCGTCATAACCACCATCAGCATCAACAGCATCACAATCATCACGATCATGAGATCGCATCACCATTCATCATGCTCATCATCATGCACAGCACGATCAGCATCACACTCTTCATCATGATTAGCACGTTCATCATCATCATCATCATCATCATCATCATCATCATCATCACCACCACCACCACCCGCATCATCATTGTCGTAATCGTGGTCGTCGTCACCTCATCAGCATCATCATAAAACGCATCCCAATCATCTGAATAATCCTCTCTCCCCCCATCATCATCATCATCATCATCATCATCATCATCATCATCATCATCATCACCAGCATCATCATCATCATCAGTATCCTCATCATCATCAGCAGCATCGTGATCATCATCACCATCATCATCATCATCATCAGCGTCATCATCGTCGTCACCACTACGACCACACCATAATCATCATGGTCATCGTCATCACCATCATGACCATCGTTGTCATCATCAGCATCGTCATCAACATCAGCATCATCATCACCAGCATCGTCATTACCATTATCATTCGCATTCTAATCATGGGCAACAACATCACCATCACCACCAACAGCAACACCACCAACATCATCGTCACCATCATCACCATCAGCATGAACATCACTACCGACATCAACATCTACGCCATCATTATCATCGTCCTTATCCTCCTGCTACTCCTCCCCCTCGTCCTGACTCTCATCTCTACGCCGCCTCCTCCTCCCCTCCTCATCCGCCTTCTCCCACAGCCTTCTCCTTCGGCTCCACTTCCTCCTCCTTCGCCCCCTCTTTCTGCTCCTCCTCTCCCGGCCTCCTCCTCCTCCTCCCTCTCTTCCGCCTCCTCCTCCTCCTCCTCCTCCTCCTCCTTCTGTTGCAATCTACGTATGCCCCGAAGGGGTCGAGGTCGCGGGGAGGAGAACCGGGGGGGGGAGAGGGACCTCCGTCGAGTGCTGCCAGAAGCGTCCCTGGCCCAAGGCGGCCCCCGCTTCCCCCAAGAGGGCACAGATGGCTTCATGAGCACCCCCCCAGGAGGTTCCCCAAAGGGGCGCACTAAGCATGGGAGCCCTCTCGCGACACCCGCCTTCAGACGGACCTCCACCGAGGCCCTGGCGTCGCAGTGCTCGCACCGGGCGCTCTCGCCCCGCTTCGGAGCGCCCCTGGGCCCTCGCGCGTCGATGCAGCGTGGGACATGCTGCAGGAAGGTGAGGTCCAGGGCTCCGGTCGTGGTGTCTGTGATGTTGAGAATCTGTGTCGCGGCGTCGGATCTCAAGGTCCGAAGACTCATCACAGGCGCGAGCGCTTCGGCAGGGCCTGG